TATCTCCTTGCTAATATAGATGTATGTCCTTAGGGCTCCCTAGTTATAGATAATTAGGTAGTATCTTAGGTCTTTAACTATTGCTAGTCTCTTTATATATAGGTTGAGCTAGGGCTCTTAGATTGCAATAATATAATGTTCTTTTAGGTTTAGTGCTTAAAGGAAGCTCCTCTGTACCTTGTCTTTACTCTTATTGATATTGTACTATATAATGTTTAGTAATGTTGCAATGTTTATTGTGTTTTATCTATATTATTTCCCTATAAGTTTTCCCTTAGTCTTCCCTTACTTTAGACTAATATTTAACTAAGCTTTGTCTGCCCTACTTCCTTTCCTACAATATTAAGGTATCTTAGTCTCCCTAGTTGTTAGTGACTCTCTTATACTAGTAAGGCCCTAAATGTAAACCTATTATCTTATCTAGACCTCTTTTATAGTACTTAGCTAGGTTGCTTCTATACCTAGCTGCCCTAGCTTGTTGTATATCTTTTTAGTATATTGATTCTAGCTTCCTTTGCCTTCCTAGCTGCCTATATTCTTACTAGGCATTCCTTCGCCTAAGAGGGGTGTCTTTTAGTATAGTATATACATCTTGCTTCTCCCTTATATGCTTTATATTCTTTGACCTAGTAATCCCCTATACAATAGGAGTAGGTATTGGTTGTCTTTATATACTTAGCTACTAAGTGTCTATAGTGTTGATATTTAAAGTACTGCATTATCCTATAGTTGCTTCTATATATCTCTGTTTCTAATCTTTCAAAGTCCTAGAACAACCCCTAGTCTAGTACGTGCTGTACTATATTAGCTTGCTTTGCACTCTCTACCTAGATAATTAGGGAAGACTGCTTCTTAGTCTCTTCGATTTTCCTTTTAATCTATGCTACTTTTATAATCTTTAGGCCTAGGTATATAGCTTAGTTTTGTCTCTATAGGCTCTTAATATCCTATTCTTCCCTAAAGCTTCTTATTATACTATAGGCTATAATTATAAATTGCTATTAGGAGACCTTTACTGTTTTCCCTATCTTGGTTGTCTATTCTTTTTGTGTTTCTAGCTTCTTTTTGTCCTGCTCTTATACTATAAATAGCTTGATTACCCCTTTTCCTTCGTTCCTAGCCCTAATTACCTCTTTAACTGCAATTCTTTCTATAATCTCTTTCCCTATAAGTCCTTAGATTTCCTTTTGCTCCTATAGGTCCGTAATATAGACTCTAACTACTATCCTCGGGGGTTTTAGCGCCTCCTAACTAGCTACTACTGCCTAGGTACGGTAGTTTAGGCTTATCTCCTATTGTTTCTTCGTAATCTTTGCTACGACTGTATTAGCTACCTTTATAATTACGTAGCTTGCTTAGTTGTAGATTGCTTTTAGTCCTCTAAGGAGTTCTAAGATTATTATCCTATATACCCTCTTAGGGGTTCTTCTATCTTCCGCCTTTAGTACCTCCTCTGCCCTAGTATATAGTGCTTTCTATTCGTCCTCCCTTCCTTCTTAACTATCTTCCCTTCGTCTCTAATTGTTCGCTACTATTCTCGAGCAATTTCTCTTTGAATATCCACGTTTATATATACTCCTTAGTATATATATTAGAAAAAAAATTACCCTTTTCCTAAAAAGTAAAAAAAAGGTCGAATATTTCGAAAAACACTTAACCTAATACCTTGAATTGTGCTATTATTATAGCGAGGTCCAAAGTATTAATTAGTCTGCCGCCGGAGGATTACAACGCTACATAATAAGTAGCCGGACACCCCTGCTCCCGAAAATTTCGAGCCCTCAATAAAGCGTACAAGTACACTCGTTAAACAGCAAACGAATTCAAATAATTGGATGCCGGGTCCGGATTTAAGTTCGTATATAGAGTGTACACTGTACCTAGGAAATCCGGGGTAGCCTAGGTTGGGGAGGTACTTACCGCCGGCTTTTTTTAAGCAACGCCAAGCCGAAAATTTTCGAACGTGGATAACCATTAACCTCTGCGCTGCCACTCTTGGAACGCGCCCGCGGTCCACAACACTTCCTAGTTCGAAGAAGCTATTGCATGCACACGCAGCACTTTGTTGAAGGAACTAGAGACGGGGACTTGAGAATCCCTTCCTTACGATGGACTCGTCTCCGCTCTCACGACTCCCACGAGGTACTTGAGTACTTAACAAGGGCACTATAGCTGTCTAGCACCCATGCTGACCGCAGCCATCTTCGATCACAGAAATCAGAGACCAGATCTACCACGCGCTTTTCACATCAAAATATGCCGTCACCTTACAGTCCGGACATGTCCAACATCCATTGACGAAGACATGTCGACAAATACGCCAAGAAACTCTGGATATGTACTATGCATTGACGAGATTCAATGCACATCTTGGTATGATCGATCTCGTCTCGAATCTGACGTTGTACTGACGTCTCGTAGACGATGGACCGGCGACACCATTAGCCAAATGGCTTACAGTTCTGGGACCAGAGCTCACGTTGATCCTTGGAAAAGTGAACATCTGGGTAAGTCTCCGGGCTAGAGATGATAGGAATATAGGGGTAATGTACTTGTACTTACCCTCCTCGAGTTCTGAATACTGATTGTGTTTAATCAGGACATGCATATGCTCAATGGCACGCTGTATGGCGAAGATAGGACGAAAGAATTGCTAAATCGTGATTTCAACAAAGACGAGTCTTACGTCTTACGACCAATCGGGAATTGGGTCTTCAATCGAGGCTGGTACCTGAAAGACATCATCCTATCTTTGCATTCCATGGGACTGGGTCTCTCACGACTTTGCATCAAGAACTCATCTGGCGCCAACGCTCCGCTCAAGTTGACATCGGATTTTGCGATTGTACGGTTGACCAAGGCGAACCAGGGAGAGATCTTCAACGATGAATATACTGAAGTCAATAGTCTTGCGAAGCAATTTGGGCTTACTGAACGGGCCAGAGAGAACTTGATCTTACAACTTGCGGCTGGCGAGAGGACGGTGACGTTGCAGGAGAGGCATAGGAAGTTGATCTTGGAGTTTGGGGAGAGTGCGGGAACGAGGCTGACGAGTATGAGGCAGGTCTTTACGAGTGAGTCTCTGGCCGATGTGGACTGGGCAGCGCTGAGTGGTGGCATTGAGGATTCTCATGATTGAGAACAATAAGCATTGAGAGTCAGGGAGTAGCGGGGATGTGTGGATTCTACAGTCAGACACCTGGAGAATCTCCAGAAAAACCGTAGGCTTTCAAGACTCTGTTCACCTTGTCTATGCTTGTCCCTCAGTCAGTTCGGGGTGACACGTAGCGAAGTACTCCAGGTTTCCTCTATGTGCAAGCTACGCACAGGCATGATGTCTGGGCATCGACCTCATAAACTATTATATGAACTGGCTTTGCCTTCATTGACGGCCCGAAAGACTGAAGTGGCCGTACAGAAAGCTTCAACGACCGCATGCCGCTCAAAATGGCGGTCGGTTGGTCATCGTCGGCAAGGTCACTACTGCCCATAGCAGAGCCACTCGTCGTCATCCACGGAATGCTCTTCGATCATTCAAGAAGTGCAGTCTGTCACGCATACACGTGCTGGTCTCGAGAGAGGGCGAAGGATCGTCCATTTATGTAAGGCGTCGAAGGATTGCAGATTATGATGACCGTTGAAGAAACGTTGTGGATAGCCGTTCAATGCGAATTGCCATTGACTTGCCCAAGGCATTTGTGATCATATCAGCGCACATATCTCCGCCAACAAAGTCGTAATTCGCCTCATCATGTGCATGGCGTACAGCGGTGAAGTGACGCGATATGGTGGGAGAGAAATGGTTGGCGGAAGACAGATTGGATGCCATCAAGCTGAGGCGCCCGTCGCACGTGATGGCAATAGAGTTCTTCGGCTTGCGACGGTTGCACCACTAGTGTCTCGCCCAGGTTCGATCGCCGTGGCACAGAATTGCTCCGAGGTCGATTTCACGGTGCCACAAGCAAGATCTGAGGGCTTGGAAGGTAGGGAAGAATTCCAGGACATCGCAGAAGTACATGTCGGTGCCACCTTGATGGGGAAGTGGTGAGGCAAGTGTGTTGCAGAAGTGACGACTTTTGAAGGCAGACGAACAGGCTCCTGCCACCCCGGCTTGTTCAGTCGTCACTGGTCAGGTAAGACCGTCTAGCGCACGCACCGTAGCTTTGCGGATCACTGCTAGCATGGGACTTTGAGCTGATATCTGTAAATGTTAGAGAAGCTCAGCGGAGGCGTATAATACGAAAACTTTCATGCTAAGGGGAACAATACTAATACTAGATATTTTATTCTATTTATAGAAAGCTAGTTTAGTATCCTAACTATTATCTATATATTACAATATATATTTATTAGTATAAATATATCTCTAGCGCTTAGAAATGCTATACTTACTGCTTTTCCTTACTATAGAATCCTTTTTTCTACTAGAAACTAGCAAATTACTAGTAAACTATTATCTTCTTAAGATATAATTTTTTAAAACTAATATTAAACTATTTACCTATAGCTTAATAAATAGACTATGCTAATATTAAAAATACTACTACTAAAGGCTTAGGAGACAACTTCTATAAACTTTTATCTATATAGTTTATATTATTTTAAGAAGTAGAATATAAGCTCTTTTACTTAGTTTTTTATAGTAACTTAGAGATCTAACGACGCTTTCTATAGATCTTAGAAATTAATTTCCACTTTCTTAATCATACACTGTATTATTTAACTAAATAGCGTTTGAAACTCGGGGCTAAGTTTCTGTTACGGTTACAGGGCTGAGGGAACTCTTTCAGCTCCGCAGGTGGAGTCTTGGAGTGCTGGCGCGCGCTCCCCTAAAAGCCTCTTCCCCTGCCTCTTCCCACCTGCTGCGCTTGCCTCCTCTGGCTTTCTCTAAACCTCATACAGACTGCAAACACATTGGGAAAGCAGCTAAGCTCTGCGAGAGTCAATCGCCAGGCCGCCCAAAGCAGCACTGCTCGCATCGAACACACCGAACTGGCGTGTCGCAGCTACCCGAGCCGCAGTTCCGGTGCATTGTACGCTGCTTTTGCGGTGTGGACGGCGAGCGAGCATTGAGAGAAATCGCGACCGCGACTGGCTGGCTGGCTGAGCGATTCGGAGGCTCGGACGTTGCTCATCCACATTCCTCACACTTTCTTCCGCCCAGCCATCTCGCGCGGCAGCACCCAGCAGAAGCTCAGCTCTCCCAGCAACAGCAACACAGCGCGCAGCCTTCATCCGTTTGCGTCCTTCACTAATCCGCATTCATCTGCCGCCCAGCAGCCTGTTCCTGTCGTCGTTGCCAGCCTGCGTCCTGCGTCCCGCGCAGCTGGCGAAGCACAAGCACACGCACGCACAAGCACACGCACACGCACAGCGTCGCTCTCGCTCTTGCGAATCCGGCCTTGGCTTGGCACCTGCCTACCCCGCTGCCGTTCTCCGAGTCGCCATCGCCCAAAATTCACAGAAGCTCTGCCATCCCAACAAGGCAATCCTCCACAGTACTATACTCCTTTGAGCAGTGAAGCACAAACACCATGTCGGCTGAAGGAGTCCAGGACCTCAACGCCAACGACCACGAGCAAGAGGAGCTCGAGAATGGCGGTGTTGAGAGCCGCGGCGTCAAGCGTCAACGCACCTCCACCGCGGCCGACGACGACGACGACGACGATGACAAGCCTGGTCGCGAGCGTCGCAAGATCGAGATCAAGTTCATCCAGGATAAGTCGCGTCGTCACATCACCTTCTCCAAGCGGAAGGCCGGTATCATGAAGAAGGTGCGTCGTGCGTCGTGCGTCGTTGTTGACACGCGTTGGACATCATTCCATCAATGCCCTCGCATTGCTGACTCGCGTCCATCACAGGCATATGAACTATCCGTCCTCACAGGCACACAAGTGCTGCTGCTTGTTGTCTCCGAGACTGGTCTTGTCTACACATTCACAACGCCCAAACTCCAGCCGCTCGTGACCAAGCCAGAAGGCAAGAACCTCATTCAGGTACGTCCATCGATCGCATCCAAAAGGACATGCACTAAAGTCTTCCAGGCCTGCTTGAACGCGCCCGAACCCGCCGATAGCAACGGTGTGGATGGCGATGGCTCTGCAGTCGACTCACCAGAAGAGCAACAAGCCGCGCCGCCGCCCATGCCACAAAGCATGCCACAGCAGGGCATGCCGCGAAATCAGCCCCAACAGCCGTACATGACCGCCGACCAGCAACAAGCACTTCAATATCAAGCCTATCTGCAGCAGCAACAGGCCGCGCAACAAGGCGCGTATCCAATGCCGCCGCAGCAACAGATGCACTCGCGGGGTTAGGAAGCTCGCGATGAGATGCCACAATACGACGGTCATACCGTTGACACCAAAGCGCAGCTCGTCGAATAAACATGCATGCTAAGGACACAACGGCAGATGATCATGACACACAAGACCACGGAAAGGACAGTTACGCAAAGCGACTGGGACAAGTGACTGACTATGGACGGTCATCAGCGGCATTCGTCAACTTCAGGAAGGGATGCGTGGACGGCGATCTTGGCGTTGCGAGGCGTCGAAGATCAGCTGTGTACTCTGGCGGCGATTACCTCTTTTACGGTGCTCATGGTTATGACTCGGGTTTTTTGATGCGAGACTTCTGAAGGTCTTTTAGCTGCTGCTTTTGCTGTGCTGAGTACCACGTACAAAAGCCATCACTAGTAATACGGAGAGGCTTGATGATCCGATGACATTCTCCTCTTCCCCCAGGGCGCGGAAGCCTCTTGGTCTGTACGGCTGCGACAGATAGCTTCGTCCATGTGACATGTATTATTATACATCTAAGTCTGAAGTATTTCTCCAAGAACTCCAGATATTCGGACAAGTCTTTTCTTTGCCTTCTTCCCTGCCTCCTGCCGGCATTGAGCCTTGCGAGCGTGGTAACTGTGCATGCCATGAGAAAAGACATCTTTCAATCGTGATCATATCGCAACACTTCGTACCGCCAGCATTCGACGATGCAAGAATTATGCTGTGGCCATTCATCTTCATCAAAGTCTCCGGATCCACACGTTAGATATATGCATACATGCATGCCTACTTTCCTCGCCACCAAGAAACCTTTTCGCTGCCAATCCAGTCCAGTCCAGTCCAGTGAAGTCCAGTCCAGTTAAAAAAAAAGTCTAGCACACTCTAGCACAGTCTTTTCTTCCTCTCATCATCATCCCTCGTCATCTCATCTCTCCGGCAAAATCCTTCCATTCCCTCCTTCAGATAAAGATTTCCCCGCTTCCAATTTCTCGATTTTCTTTTGTAATTCTTCGCGTTGTTGAAGGAGTTTTTTCTTGGAGGTTTCTAATTGGGATAATTTTTGTTCGGGGTCTGGAACTAGGGTTTGGGAGATTTCTTTTTGTTGCTGGAGGAGAGAAGAGGGAAGGGTTAGTGAGAGGGAATGAGGTGTTGTAGGGGAAGAGGAAGGTGGTTGGGGAGGACGCTTACTTACTTGTTTGAATTCTTGTCGTATGTTGATTCCTGCTCCGTACCAGGCTCCTGTTGCGGTTATTGCTGCTACGGCGCCTGTTGTCGCGTAGAGGCGGAATTTATTTGAGGACATTCTGAAGGTTGTTGTTCTTATCGCTGATGATGATTGGGAGGGTTTTGATGGGATGTTGTTGCTGGATGGCAAGGCTTGGCGTGGAGAGGTCGCGTTTTGGACTTCACGTCTTCAATTTTGTCAACTACATCAGCTAGATTTGCGCGAAGATAGGCTGCCAACATGTCCACGAATACAAATCCTACACGTACGCCAGGACAGGCTCGAAGTCTTGGGCATAATCAGTCTACCTCGAGACTCTCAACTGTGCCTACCAGCGCGTCAAAGTCGCGACAGCTGAGCCATCTTCATGCCCAACTTGCGCAGTTGACTGCGAATATGTCTGATTTGGAGAATTTGATGAGGATGACGGCTGTTCAGGCTGAGGGTATAAGGGGTTTGGGAGGTTATGCTGGAGGAATGTGAGTTGCCAGCTGGAGAGCAAGATTTGGGGACGAGAAGAATATATACTAACTCGTGCTTCAGGTTCATGGCTGCGTCCAAGGTACTGGGAGAGGAGACCGTGCAAGGTAGCGGTAATGCTGAGGGTAAGGAGGGAGGTGGTAAATGAGTGCTGGAGGACTAAGTCTGCGCCCGAGGTTTCTGGATTGCTTGGATGGGGGAGTCGAGACCTTGCTCTTGATGATACGTGCCACACTTTGCGATACTGGAGCGCTTCTATGGACCAGAAGACTTTTCGAGTGCGAGAGCGGTGAGCGAAGGATCTTGAGACTCAACAAGAGAAGGGGCAGGCCGCGCTACTTCCTCAGTATACCTTTACTTCGTGGCACGTGCGCTCTGGAAACGATATAGACCGCCTTTCTTCTGGCCTGATCTCTCACAGAACATCACCACACCAATGACTACCCACCTCACCAAATCAGCACAGAATACCACCTGACTCCAAGCCCTGCCCCACAAAATGGAGCCAACTCGCATGACACTTCCGTCACCATCACCGTCTCAGCGGGAGACGACAGCGGCGACGGATGCTCTTGGTCCGGCCGGAACCATGACCTGGTCTCACCTCAATCTTATCGACCAACTTCTTCATGACAAGGATCGCCTACTCCGAGAAAAGGACGAGACTGTGCGATCCAAGACTGAGCTGTGGCGAGAGTCTCATGATGCTCTCAGGAAGCGTGACGAAGGACTTAACGAGTATCGAGACAGGGTTTCAACCCTTGAGAGAGCGCTCAGAGCTCGTGACGAAGAGGTTGCTCAGCAGAGAGTCTCGTTCAAGGAGCTACAAGCAAAGTACGCGAGTGCCAAGTCAAAGAACAGAAGGCTCGCAAAAGCATTCGATGAGTACATGGAAAATCACGGCCCTGATGATGATTTCGATGAGAATGAGTGCAAGAGTACCGTGGCCGGGCCAGACGAAGATGCAGAGGATAATGTCGAGCAGGTGATAGAGCTGTAGGGACCTGGTCTATCGATTATGTGGTCTGCATGTTTACTGATACCATGAATAGCGAGGAGGACGAACTAGACACTCAGCACAAGCAGTTGCAAGAGTTGTGGCCGATATGTAATATCAAGCGAGGTAAACCGGCGTCAGACGATGAGCCCACTCAGAAGAGGCAGAGGCTGAATTCGGTCGAGCTTGACAAGGCGAGAGACATTCCATCGCTGCTGTCCGGCGTTACCGCAAAGCTGCAGGCCTTGGAGCAGAGATCTCCAGAAGTCCATGAATACGCGAGCGAGGGAGGTACGCCTTCCTCGGCCACAATGCCTGGCTCTAAGCGAAAGCTAGACCAGATGCTTGAGACTCCTGATGATGCAACCTCTGCTTTGGACCAAGCCCTGCCTTCCACGACTGCCCATGCGCTCAGCACGTCTGTGAACGATGCGGATGCCTCTGAGCAGGCGACACTGACGGAGTCACTGGCCAACACCCAGCAGGACATTGACCATGGTACACCTCTGCCCGAAGCTCCCTTTTTGCGTCGACAAGCTGCCAAGTTGGTCACTATGAACACTAGCCCTCTTGCGCAGTGCGAAACCAGGGTCAGAGAACCCACCCAATCGTCCTCATTGTTTTCAGATCTAAAGCGTTCTCCACAAAGGGAGGACGTTCTTGAGGAGACGCAGGAGGACGACTGGTCAGCTCAGACTGCCTCGGCAGCAATGACAAGATTGAGGGACGATCTGCTGCTTCCGATGGGTGTGACCATCAGACCACTGATCGAGAGGACCACAGACGGCACATTTGAACTTGGCGATCCCAACATGATGGCTGATGAAGTGCTGAATTCAATCTATGGTGTTTTGCAGAAGGTGCTGAACAGGTCCAAATTGGGAAGACGTGCGTTGCACCCGCTGTCGGATAGTAGTACTGCCTGCTGCTACGTCTGGGATCATTCCGGCCATACAGATATGAGCTGGACTCTTGAACAAGCCAGGAAATATGCTTGCAGAAGATGTTTCAGAAACAGACGAGCTTGCTTCACGTGGCAGGACCAAGGCCTTTGGACTGTTCTTCCACTGCCACCTGCTGCCCGGCCGTTCGAAGCTACGCCACAGGATCTCTCATACTACATCTATCAAGGAGGAGCTTCCTTTGATGCATTCGAAAGGCTGTACGAGCTTAGTACTAGGCAGAAGTCTCGTCTGACGAAACAGCAGGCCAAAAGCAAGGATAATTAGGTAGCTCAAAATGCGATATCTGTTGTCATGGCGCCTCCGAGGAGACGAGTTCTGGGATGATGAGAGGCTAGATGCGCTCATGAGTGGAGAGAGCCTCGTGTCGATAGTCCAGGCAAGCTCCGTAAGACGCAGGCAAGACTTCGCTTACGTGTGGCAGCATTACTCCCGACCCGAATTGTAGGCTATCAACGCGTGGGCTCCCTGACCAAATTCGACAAAATTCGAGGCTTCGAGAAATTTTCGACAAGTTTGGGAATTTCCAGACCGTGCGAGAGATACTCCTTGTAATCTACCTACTCCCTTGTCCTCGTACTCGTCCTCGTACAGCGGCAGCACGCGATTGCTTGTATATTCACGACGAAACGCATCTATTTGCACCTTTTGATGGCCGTGATTCCTACTGCCATTGCCATGCGAGTGCTATTTGCGCACTGGATCCTCTCTTTCTAGTCAAATCTGCGGATTTGTTGCCATTCTACGGTGCATGATGCGCAGATCATGAAGCAGGTCACTTCACTCACACGCCAAGAAAATTAAACTTCGCCGTTAGCACCCGTCACGCGCGCCCCGACCTCAGGTCACCACCAACTTGCTCATCCCGAGTATCGAACTTTGCGAACAAAACATCTTGCTACAAATCCTGTTCAGGGCGCTATACGCGCGCAATACATCCTAGATTGCTACCACAACAGGCGCCGCCATGGAGACTGCCATTGCCTTGGGCGCTCTCACCAGCGTCTCTTGGGGAGCCTCGAAGTACCAAGACAAGCGGATCACAGCGAACGACAAAAAAGAGCGCCGAGAGCGGCGCGATCACCAAGCAGAAATACAGCGCCACAAACTGTGCGCAGATTTCGAGCGCGAAAAGCGCGAGATTGCTGAGCGAGAATATAGAAAGGCTCACAACCGACTCGAAGTTACACGACTTGAATACTATGATGGCTTTTCGCAACAATCAGCTTGTGCCGACTCGAGTGGACACATTACCTGTAAGCAAGCAGTACCATCTTGGCGCATGGCTGGTAATGCCAACTCTCTCCTTACAGGCATTCAACCAGGCGCTTCAGTTTTAGATCCGACCAGCAATGGGTCATCGAGTGTTCTGCACGCTTCTGGAGGAAGCTTTGGCCTTTCGCCGGCCACATGTATCATCGCCATCCTTCTTACACTACTGCTTGCGGCCATTGGACTCTTCCTTCACACCTCAGATCAGCTCTTTCGACGTAGCAAAATGGATCTCGAAGCGAAGGATGAGAAGTTTGAACAGCTAAACTCCGATTTCACGACGGTAATTTGCTCGCTGGATGATACAAAGCAACAACTTTCCGACTCGAAACATATGCACGAGACGAGTAAGGCTCACGCCGAAAGGCTTGAGAGTAATCTCGCTGAGCTGAGCACTTCGCTGGAAGACACGAAAGGACATCTTGAGGACTCCGAAAAAAAGCTTCATGAGAGCTTAGAGAATGCCAAGCGGCTCGAGAGTGATCTCGCCCAGGCAAACATTTCTCTGAACGGCACGAAAACCCAGCTTGGCGACACCGAAAAGGAGCTCAAGGAGAACGTGGCTTGCGTCGGAAAGCTTGAAAAGAATCTCATGGAGGTCAACAGCTCAATGGAAGCCACCAAGAAAGAACTTCATGACTCTGAGAAGGGGCTTGAGGAGAAAGCAACTCACTCCGAACAGCTCGAGGCCAGCCTCGTGGAGGAGCGCAATTCGCTGGAATCCACGAAAAAAGAACTTCGCGACTCCAAACAGAAGCAGGACCAAAGTCTGGCTCATGCCGAGCAGCTTGAGAGCAATCTCGCGCAGGCAAAGCAGTCGTTGGATAACAAGACCACCTTGCTTCAGCAGGCAGAGCGCGAATGTGATATACACAGAACCGACAGCGAAACGAAGCAGACGCAGATCCAAGAGAGCGACATGGAGGTCACGAATCTCCGCGCGCAGCTCGCCTCTATTCAGCAAGAACGCAACGGATATAGACTCGCCAGTGGTCAGAGCGCGGCGGCTATCCAACAGCTCGAGAGCAATCTCGCTAAGGTGAAGCAGTCGCTCGAGAACACCCAACAAGAGCTCGGCAAGGTCAACAAAGAGCTGTGCAGCGTGGAGCAAAAGCACAATGACTGGGCAGTTCTGGCTCGTCGAATGCCTGCAAAGCGTTGTGAACAGATTCGAGAAGCGCGCCTGATGAAGAAGTATGGCGCATTGTGGCAACTCCGCGTGAGAGTAAAGACGATGGTGCCCACAGCAGAATCATCCGGTGATGCCGTTGATGACGAGGACAAGCGCGACCGAAGTGAAGACGAAGATGATAAAGATGCAGGTGACTCGACAGAGAAGAGCAATGGTTCGTTGAGCACAACCGCCAGCAAGGACAATGGGAGCGGTGCTCAGGACAAGAAGAATCCAGAGCAAACTGCCGACGCAGCAGCTGGGTTATCTTCAAAGCCTGATGATGAGGAGAGCAAACCTGAGAATGACGATGTCTCAAGCACTCAATCCGACTCCCAGGGCTTCACACAAGCGCCTCAAGGCGACAAGCTTGAGATTCAAGACCACGGCAATCACCAGAAAAGAAGAAAGCAACGAGGGAAGTTTACAAAAAGCAATGACCAACAGCGAGTAGCAGAACTCCATCGCCAATTTGCTTTTGCCGACTGGTTCATGAGCGACCACGAAGCAAGCAACGAGGTGTTGGACTGCTGGGTCACGTCGTGGCAATATAAGGGTGCAAAGTTTCAGGATGTATACACAATCGAGGACCTGGTTATAGTGACCTGCGACACTCTAGGACAGGGCAAGCGGTATCGGCAGCGAACACGTACGGCAGATACAGCAGAGCACACGGCTCCTCAACCACCTCCAGGAGCCCCGAAAGCACCGCGCGCGATGATTGCAAATGGGTTCCCGATGCGCAACTTCCACAACCGCCATCCATGATTATACTCCACCACAGATCGACTATACCTGGGCCAACGAGAGCCGCGCCGAAAGCGCCTCGCAGGCATACCCGGAACAGAACCAGAACAACTGGCTGCGCGATCACCTATCCAGCGCTCGCAACAAGATCTTCGAATTGGGAGAAGACGTCAAGGAGGAGCGCTACGAGAACCAGATCCAGAACCTGGTGTCTCGTGCCCAAGATGCCGAAGACGAAGCAGTTGCTGCTGCTAGCAACCATCCGATGCCTGACCAGTAACACCAACATCAGACACCATTCCACGCTGCATTGCACGCAGACGTGAACATGCCCGTTCTTCACCAAGAACCGCCGCCGCCTCAACCAGGACTCAACGGCACCGCACCTCCCTTCAACCCCAGCAACGACAATCAAGCGAAGCAGCGTTGAGAAAGACAATATGTGAACAAACGCAGACGATCGACGCTCAACCAGAACAGAAACTCTTCAAGTTCAGAACCCTTTTGGGGAGATGAACGAGGAGAATTTCTGGAGAGCTGTTAGATCTCGAAAGCAGAACCCTTCGGGGAGACGTTTAGATTTCTAAGTTCGTTGGAGGTTGATGGGGTGGATGTTGGCTCGTCTTTGGTTTCGGGATTTGTTGGAAGGAAGAGATGATTGATAGCCAGTGGAATTTTGAGGATTGTGCGATGAGGTTCTGTACCTTTGATACTTCGTACAATCGAGGCGATTGCTCTTCATTAATAGTGTACAAGTCTTTGATGGTTGTGTTCTACTTTATGACTTGGGTTCCCGCACAGACCTTTCGTTCCTGCTTGCTGCGTTACATTGTGGCACTTGACCACCTTAGGTACCATTTCGTGTACCTATCCTGCCTTCGTCCTGAAGTTGCATATTGATGACTTGCGTGGTAAGATGCTTGGGAAGCAATCTCGTGTTTCTGCATAACCATTTTCGGGGGCAACTGAAGCAGTCACAACATCTTTGTGCTGAGAGTTGATCATGTTCAGATCTTGGTGCGTTATACGCAGTGTCAAATTTTTCCCCGGCCGGTTACGACTCATTTCTTCGAATCTGGTATCTGTCGCTGGGAAGTGGCTTCAAGCATACTATTTCGAGCTTGCAATTTCTCATTCTGGGCCTTGAGCGCAACGATATTGGCTTGTAATTCCGCGATCTTGCCTCGCTGACGATCTCGGTATGCTCGTTGCCTTGGCGAAGGGACATCAGCAATGCACACTATGACAAGAAGTAGGAAGGGCGTACGAAGCACGATTCTGTTCCCTTCTTCGAACGTGCTTGTTGGATCCTCTTTCACTAGTCTCAATGCTGACCTGAGAAGCAGCGTCTAAGTCGTCATCCTTGAACGTGGGTTGAGGTGTCCCGATTCGCTGGAAGTCAAGATAATCTTCTGCGTTGCAGAATTGTGAATCGAAGGATAGCTGTTGATACGACATGTCGGGAGAGCAGACGTTTGAGCTGTTGAAGTCTGGCTCGAACTCGATGGTAGGGCAACGCTATGCATAGTCAGTATATCTCCGAGCTTCCGAGGTGGAAAATGCATACTATAAGCCAGTATGGATGGGAATTAGTTGGGAGCTCCTGAAGTTCGGGCGGTGGATGCTCAGGTAGTGTGTCCTGACCTGAACACCATTTGTGATATATGTTAAGGTTGTTCGTCATGTTCGTGGATACAGTAAGGGAAACTCTTCTTGAAAAAAAGGTCGACTGTTACTGATTGCTCGATGAATGTTGGTAAGATACTCTGCGGATACTACCTACGTTCGCGTCGACGTGGTGATCTGCACGACCTTATAGCAAGAGATTTTAGCTTTCTCGTGTGATCTGTACGAGACATCTGGCTGCAAGCACCCTGGTAGCAGGACTTGCAATGACTCTATGAGCATGCTTGGGCAGCTTCCAGGACGGGGATAGAGCAGCCTCACGCGCCTTTCCAGCGTTGCAGTGACCAGGTGCCATGATTTGTCCCAGTAAGCCTGCTGCTTGTGAATATTTTGAGAGAAGAAGATCTACTGGCGGAGACTGGCTCGAGTTACCTTTGCGCGTAGGACTTTCCAAGCCTCGCTCAGCCAGAGTCGTGCTCACTTCTCAGCAAAGTTTACACTAGCGGAGCGACCGACAGCACATTCTCGCTGCGCCTCGTCAGGCCCCTACTGTATCACTTCAGCTCCCAGATTCATCATCATCATCATCAGAGTATTGACATTTGAAGTTGAGGGTTTGCTGGATGTGATTGCTCGGAATTCAGGCGCAGTCGGTGTCGATTCCAGGCTGGTCCTTGCAGCTGTACAAGCCATTTGTGCCAGCCACTGAACTTTGAGCGGCTATTCCCTTGGCATTCGGTCAGACCACCAGCTACAACTGTAGCAATTCTCATGTCATATCCAATTATTGTAGGGCTGAGGATTTGACGTCCATCGTGACTCCTCGCTTACCAATTGCCTGACATTGGTCGTGATGTCTTCTGCTGCTTGGCGACGGATCGAAGCGAAGTACATGAGTCCTCCCGCGTGAGCCCCTTTCAGAATGATGTTGCCAATTGCTCACGAACATTCGTGTATAACTTGGAGTCCATCATGATCGAGAGTCCTCGATTCCGGTCACTTGCGGTATGCGTCTCACTGGTGTCGAGAGACTGCAAAAGTCTGGTCTTTATTTGAGATCTTGTAACGGACGACCTCTAGTCCTGATAGTTTTGTCATCATGTGCTGCGTGTAAAGATGATTGAAAGGGGAGTGGACAGAAGAGGACTGCAAAACATCTCGGCAAAGCTGCCCAATCTGGGCTTGGCGGCTCGGACGCTGGACATCACTTCGAAGCAGCAGCTCCTCTGCGACAGATTCAGTGCCATCGCGTGAGAATCGTACCAGCTACACGCAATGCAACCACTCAGGCGAACAGCCGCACGCTCTGCGCAGCGGTTACGGCAGCCGATCCAATGGCAGTCGCAGCGACGATATGCTGGAGACCACCATGGACCAGAACTCGTCTCCGAAGGCACAGCAGCACATGAGAAGAATCCACCGCTCAAGAACGAGTCACTCGGAGTACGTTTCTACCCAGCCGAGGAACTTGAGAGGGCGTAGAGATAGATTGCGCAGAAGGAACTTGGCGGACATACAGGCAGGACATTGACTAACAAGCGTACTCCCAGGCCGGGTTCTTCATTGCTCTGGCCTCTCTCCCTCTCGGTCTCGCGATATACAAGTTCACCGGCCAAGGCACGAACGACCAGCCATATTTTACTCGCTTGATCAAGGATACATATGCCCAGTACGCGATCAAGTGGGCAGAGCGAAACGATCTTCACACACAAGCTATGCAGCAAGCAGCTGCTGACCGCGTCCTTTTCCTGAACGAGACGAATCAGAGCGAGCGATGGATCGACCACAGATATCCTGAGTATGCGCGAATATGTCTAAATGTGTCAATGCTGAGTGCAGAGGCACGGGGATGGGATAACTTTAGCTGACACGAGCTACCTCACAGAATCCTGAACGCTTCCTCACCCTGGAACGTCCGCGCTGGCCACGGAAGTGCTGATATGAGCGAGTTGATCGCAAAGTACGAGAAAGAGCATGCGGAAATAGATGCTTTGAAGCTTCAGCAATTGAAGGAGAACAAGGTGCCGAGAGAGCAGCCAGTAGAGAACTTCAAGAAGCTCACGCCTGCTGCGGCGGATAGTGGAGCGTAAGAGCGTGGCATAAATACCTTTTGTTATGTGTACATACCCTCAAGCGGAGAACACAACTCCGCGAAGCGTGGAGATGCCATATGAATGCTTTCACTGTGCATCATTTTTTGTGAGAGCAATATGTCCGCGAGTCTGACCTTGCATGTTCGCATAGCATGCTAAGCGAGCACATCGAATTCAAATGTTCCCGGATATGTGTATATCGTCTTCATCATTGCCTCGAGCGCGTCTCCTGTGTTTGTAAATGGGTCGCACCATCTCGCGCCCTTTCGACTTGACCGTTTCATTACGGGTGCTGCGGAAAGGTCATGTCCATTCGTCGAATTGTGGTTTGCACAACTCTTCCTCAAAGCCGTCTGCCCCCACCCCAGTTGTGATAATGCTCTTCTTCGAATGTCACCTGTCCCATCCTGAGCGCCACTCTATGCCGCTAATTTTTGCATCACTTGAGCCCGCTCATCACGACTCCATCGTGCTCTGCGTCTACTTCTTTCCAGCACTTCTCACAACAGAACTATGCGGGGCCGCTGCTTGCTCAACAGGCGCATCAGGAATAGGCACGTCGGAGAAGTCGTCCTGGCCGATGGCCTTCAACGTGTACGTGTCTGACACAACTTAGGATCTTGCTTCCCATAGATCTGCAGTACTTTTACTCACATATGCATGCCACAAAGCCGAATATGCAGAGACCTGTTATGGCATTGCGAATGAGATATGGCTGTCGTGCTCGGTAAAGGGCTGCGGTGGGACGGTTGCGATTGTCATAGTAGGACGACTGCGGCATCCTATAGTCCATCAGCATTGTATGGAACAGTACTTTGCGACCAGCATACGCACCTTCCGAAAGGCATCTTGACGAGCTGGACTGTGAGTTGGTCGAGTGAAGGTTTCACATGCACTTCTTTCAAGTTCTTTGACAGCGCCAAGAACGATGACCAGGCTGTCGCAATCTTGGCCGCGGCCGCGGAACTCAACTTTGTCATCGTCACTTCACGACAACACTGACTTCCGCCTTCAACACGACTTCGACACTTCTGCGCGTGCCATTGACCCTCACCTCGCCCACCGACGACATCATCTTCACCGGCGATGACCAGGCGCAAAGAGCGCTGAACTGCACCCGCGCCCTACTGGACTGAGCATTGTAGATAACATAGCTGCTTTTGTTCCCTGCCTCTGCCTCGTGACCTGCTCTTCACCACCTCGAGGGTGAGCCCGCCCTTTGCGGCGCGCTCTGCTGTCACCAATGGCGTCGCCGAAGGAGACCTTGACCCAATTGAACTCTGCGCGCGATATTGTGCTCCGCGACCACACTCTATACACCCAAGTAGTGCCTGGAATCGTCCAAGTCATTGCGCCAGGTGCAGACCTAGAGCTTCGCAGATGGGGTGCAGACTTTCTCGCAGAGACCTTTGCATCGCAGGTGGTGACAGCGGAGGCAAAGCAGCAAATGTCACTGGTTGTGCTTGACACGTTGAAAGGCTATCTCAACAGAAAGGACATTGCGGGCGAGGATGAGGACACGGCGGTGGTCAAGAGTGCTGTGCAGTGTGCCGCGAGCATATACCCATTCGTCTTTAGACACACTGTCAGCAACCCCTCAGACAAGGAGACATGGAGCAAGATAGCGGCCATAAAGAGCAGCATTCTGCGGAGGATGGATACTGCAGTGCCTGGTGTGCGAATATGCTGCATCAAGTTCGTGGCTTCTGTGGTGCAAACGCAGACTCCCGGCCTCATTGCAGACCCTCGGCGGCAAGAGCAAAACGAAATCAGTCTTTCTCTGGTCCCGCGAGATCATCCTGTCATACCGCCCGCCAATCTCGAGGCAGAAGCGTCCGGATTACTGGACAGACTGCTGGGCGTGCTGCAGGAGAACTTGACTGATCCGCTGATCGTCACGGCAACATTGAACGCTCTTTCCACCCTGGTTCAGCGTCGCGCAAGTGTCTCGAGCAAGATCCTCATGACCATTCTCAACTTCAACCCTCTCAAGCTGGCCAGTAGACCCATAAGTGGGATGGACAAGATTGCGATCAAGAGCATGACCCGAACTACGATGTCATTTCTTCTCAACTGCCTCAAAAGGAATTCAAACCATGCACTGGCGGGCCGCATGCAGCAAGGCATTGAGCGACTCAAGCATAGCCTGATAGAGGTGTTTTCCGAGAATCATCAGCTCAAGCGACCTGCACCCGACGAGCCCGTCGATGGACTAGACGATGCGAAACGGCAGCGATTAGATGCGGAAGCTGTCAATGGCACGACGCCTTTGCAACAGTCCGTCGGTCCAACATATCCACCACTACCACCTGGACCAGTGTCGATAGCACAAATATGGACACTCACGAATCACCAACAGTCAGCGACATTCGATGTGACTCGATTGCCAGTGCCTACAGTCGTGCAACTCATACCTGCGCTGTTACAGGCGGTACCGCAGCAGAAGATCAACGAAGCGATCAATGTCGTCCGAGCGAGATGGCTGGGTATTGGCGACAGGGGTCACGCAAATGAAGCGAATGCCGCAAACGCAGAGGAGGATGACGAAGACTATGACCCGTCAATGGGGTTCAACGGCGACACAGATCAAGTAATGAATCGCCTAGAACAGAGACCGAGGGACGCGATTGCTAACGACGTTGCTGTCGGTCCTTTCAGCTTACCTCCACCACCGCCCCTCTCTGAACATGAGAAAGACGATTATAGCAGGACTGCTGTCATGCGAGTTTTCGGCAATCTCTCAGACCTCGATCGCGAGGCGAAAACCAAAGGCAAACCTACTCAGATAGAACATGGCTTTAATCGGCTGGCAGCGACAAGCGCCAGTGGCCACGACAGGGAAGTGTGGATCACTTTGCTCACGAGATTGGCTACAAGGGCGCCGTTTGATCTTGATGAGAAGAATGGAAATGTCAAAAAGGAGGGTGATGACCTTTCGATGGCGCAGAAAGCACAAGGGAGACATTTATCAAACGGCATTCGAGAAGGTCTTCTCAGATATGTCATGGATAACTTCCGAGGCAGAATCGATGTTGCCATCGCTTGGCTGAATGAGGAATGGTATTCCGACCGCTTACTCCTGAAGCAAAAGGAGGAAGACGGTGAAACGATTGACGAAGATGATCTGCCTAACTACTGGATTTGGGTGCTGCGCCTACTGGATAGCATGATGCCCTATATTGATGTCAAGGATCAGCGGATAGTGATCAGACTGCTCTCAGAAGTCCCAGCCATCAACAGTGCTCTGCTGAATCGACTCAAGAAGATCGCTGAGGACCCGGAGCGAGTACAGATTGTCACCAACACGCTGCTCTACCTCGTCATGTTTCGGCCACCGGTGAGAGAGCTGGCGATCAATACTGCGGAGCAGATGTTCAGAGAGAACAGGGATGCGAAGACGGCCGCCAAGAAGATTCTTGCGAAATGGAGGCCAGCAGTGCTCGAGCAGGAAACAGGCACAGAAGTAAAAGCGGAGGCGTAACTTTGACAACAGATGGTTGGGCTGGCATAAATTCTCTTGCATCAGCGCGGCGTTGGAGAAGGCGCCATGTGCTAGAGTAGCTGCTGCTGTGGGACGTTGAATTTGGATGGAGTCGCAGCGTCTGTACAAGAGTGCAAGAAGAGGACGTAGAACGAGGCAGAGGCAACTGTAACGACTAGGAGGATTCTGATTTCTGCGTGATGCGTGGGAAAGGGGTAGAGGCATATGCAACGCTTCTCAGGAGCAGATGCATAATGGCGTTTATTATGGAACTCGCAATAGACGGAGCACAAGAAAGGAGCAAATGCAGCATGATCTCTGCACTTCTGCGAAACAGGTACGCCTGACAAGATGGAGGATCGACGTCTAGACTGCTGGTTAGGCGTTTCGTGAAACCAGGGACTTGCTGCCCAGTTCCAACTCGATGTGAGCGGGGCTGGATGGCTTCAGATGGAGATCAAGAAAGACGTGCGAGAAGTGAAAGTAGCACGCGATATTTCTACCAATGTATGCGCGCATCTGTTGTATTCGTATTGGCCTGCTTTAAACTGCTTCTCGAATTCGAGAACAAAGATCTTGCTGGCGGCTACTGTTACCGTGCTGACGGTAGCGCCGGCGGCCCGGCCCGTGCGGCAGCAACAAGGTTCATCAGGGTCCACGCTGAGCTTCAGTTCGCGTCTTGCGCATCTCACAGCTTCTCTTTCTCACACCATCGCGAAAGGTATCTTGACTCTATGATACACATCAGGCTGACACCACATACTGACAACGTACACAGCACGGCGATGCGAGAAGAGAGAGATGAAGAAAGTTCACACGCGTGAGCATCAAGTATCCATTCCATCGCCGAGAAGAGACATGATCTTGGCGGTGAAACACATGGATATCGATGCTAATCACTTGAACGATCTAGTTGTAAAGAGTACGTCCACCACTTCCAACCTGTCTTTTCTACACAAGCAGCGTTCTTCAAGCAGGTCTATCCATGTGTCTACATATGCTCTCAGTGTCTAACCTTATCCGATTTGCTGGATCCGTCGCAATGCTTTGTCTGAACACAGCGGTCCATGTCCACTCCAGCCGGCAACATCCTGGACAGAATGACGATGAACAACCGGGATCCGCGACCAATGTTTATCATTCTTGCCAGAGTCGTACCGACCCGACCCTCGCCACTTCCCCGAGCCCCAGCTACCCGCCCGAGCCCCAGTAGATATACCAATATAGAATCGGCCTGAATGAGATTACGTGGCGTTTCTACCTATTACATATCATATCCATTCTTGGTTGGTGGCGCGGAGCGCGTCACCTAGGAGGCTAGGAAGTCGCGCCTGCACTACCAGTACCAGCAGCAACAACAACAACAATAGTCGCTCATACAGCTAACAGGACGGCCACTTCACTACTAGGTGCTGCAACAATAGCACCATCAGTTCACTCAGTAGCAGTATTATATGCAGTAGCAGGCTAGTCAGCAAATAAGGGACCAATATAAGCCAGCATATGTAGCATCACGTGGCTACAAGGCTGCAGGTCGTAATCCGTTTAGACCTGAGTAGATAGCAACTAACAACACCTTGAATTTTGCTATACCACTGGTTTGCTAACAAACTTTGGCTTCATAGCTAGCAGCAGTATAGAAGTGGTTGCCCGGTCGGTAGTGGTTGCGGGGATCCGGAAATCGCTTCCCTACGCAATTTTGTTAGGAACAGCGGATTCCATAATCCACTGTATTACTGGGGCTCGGGCGGGTAGCTGGGGCTCGGGGAAGTGGCGAGGCGACCCGACTGCCACTGCTTTTGCCTTCGCGACTTGCCTGCCTGCCATTATTGTCACGAGCCTTCCGGAAAATTATTGGAGTCTGACTGCATCCTGGACCGGAGTTCTACATGCCGTTGTCGTCTCGTGTTTTGTTTATGTTCAACTCGCTAATACGCTTGCTTTCACAGGCCGCTCGCTCGCGGCTCTTAGGCAATCGCCAAACAAGAATCACCACGAACGTGAACTTCCCTCCTCGCCAGTTTCGCCCACGTCGCCAACGCTCCCAGAATTGGCTATGAATGGCGGCTCGCTTTTCGGCACTTCGCCGAACAACTCTTCTTCGCCGACGCCTGTCAACAACAACTCGTACCTGACGCCAGTACAGAACGGCGCGTCACGTCGAATCGGCAGCAGTGACTACACGAAGCTGCCCTCCTCAGTCTCCAATGGCGCATCATCACCTGCGACCAATGGCCAGCATACCTCAAATGGAGAGGTCCAGCACCCCCTCACTTCACCACCGACTCAATCTCCAAACACAGACCAAGCACAGTGGAGTTCAGCTGTGGGCCATGCCACTACCGGCGGGAAATCAGGCAGAGTCATCGAGAAGCTGATGTCAGACAATGACCGCCTGAAGCGCGAGTTGCGCGAGCAGATCACGAGAGCAGAAGAACTTCAGCGCAACATGGAAATGTACAAGCCACGAATAGAAGCTCTTGAATCCGAAAACGAGAACCTCAGCCATGCTAGGGGCGTGGACCATGCCTTGCTTGTTCGCAGAGATCGCCAGCTTACGGACACAAAGGAGGAACTTGTAGTTGAAAGAGAGCGCCGGGAAAAGTTCGAAAAACTTGCCCAACGATTATCAGCCGAGCGAGATGCAGCCATTCACGACAAGGACCGCGAAGTCGGCGAGCACAAAGAGAGAAGACTCCAAGTCGAAGCCGAAAACGACGTCCTCAAAACCACCATCAGGCAAACGAAAAAAATGTACGACAGCAGAGTCAGCGCGCAAAAATTCCGAATCGAGAAAGAGCTCGAACCTGAAGTGAAAAGGCTACAAAAAGTCCTAGAGGAAGATAAAGCAACCATGCTGAAATTGAATGTCGTGCATGAGCAGCAACATCAAGAAATCGAGCGAGGCAAAGCTCTCCAGCAGGAAATGGTCGCGAAGTGGGAAGAGATCTCTAAAGCTCGCGAAGAGAGATTGCAACTTGTGGAGTGCGAGAGGAGGGAGGAGACGGAGAGGAGTAGGAAGTTGAGTGTCGAGATGGATAAGGTTGTGAATGATATGCGGTGGGTGATGAATGTGAAACGGAATACGAGTTTGGATGAGAGTGGTGCAGGTGATGAAGAAGAAGAAGAAGAAGAAGGGACGAAGGAGAAGGAGTAGGAGGAGGATTGGAGGGAGCAACGACCTTTTTCTTTCGTATTTTTCAAAGTCATGATGGTTGGTTTGATTAGCGTTGGCGTATGCGCAGGATACCCCAAAAAACAAGCAAGACAGAATACCGAAAGAGAGCATGGCATGCATGCATGCATGCATTGAGCAAAGGGAAGCGAAGCGGCAATCATGAAACTTGCTGCTGCTGCTGCTTCTTTAGGATGGGAATTGGGATATACAGGAACCGGAATGGAATGAACTTCGAGACTGGAAAGGCTCTCAGATCAACAGGCTGAAGCACGAAATTCACATCAGGCATCCTGACATATGGTATGGGCTTTCCATTTTCTCGACTACCATTACTCTGCGTAGATCGTAGAATCTTGACTCGAACACTTCGGTCATGATGCGAACTGTACTGTACAGAGGTATGAACAAAACAGAAAGAAACGAGCTGGCTTTCTCACTTTCTCTTTCTCTCGGACACTGGTGACTTTTTCCGCTGGCATTTCCGTTTTTCTCCGTCACTTCTTGGGTTTGGTCGTGGTGCGGCGGGAAGCTGAAGCTTTTGAGGAGGATGGAGATTACTTGCACTGCTCGCGTTTAAGACGCAGCTTCACGCAAGGCTGCATGCGAGCTATCGTTTGCCTCACTTCTTCGACTTAGTCGTGATGCGGCGTGTGTAGTCGCTAGGAAGCTGGAGTTTTCGAGGAGGGGGCAGATCACTTGCGCTGCTCGGGTTCGGAGCAACTTCATGCACTGCTGCAGTCGACGCATAAGTGCCGTTGGTCGAGGCTCGAGTCGGAGCGAGAGTAGCACGAGAGCGTGAAGTCGTCTTGAACACCGAGGGCCTCACATTTTCCCACTCCTTATCCATGATATTCTCTTCGAAGTCGACGAGTCTGCCACTCGAGTCTGGATTCGTCACACGCACCTGCGCAGTGGGCTTTTGGTGGAGATAGCCAGGTGGCGGCTTCATCGGCGTGGAGGACGGGACTGCTCTATCGTCGATAAGCTTGATCTTTGGGTCGGCGTTTGTCGTTGCGGGTGTAGCCACATTCTTCCATTCTGCTTCACTGGGATCCCAGTCCGCATAGCGTCTGATGGGCTTGGTAGCCACAGTCGAGGATGCCTCTGACATCGATGCTGAAGTCGAGTGCGCGCTCCATGCTGCCGTACCTCGTCCGGTCTCTCTGGACTCTCCACTGATGCTGACCGGTGTCGAGGCTACCGAAGGTGTCGCACCACGAATTGCTAATGGCTTCCTCCGCGCATGCCGCTGCACCTGATCCTGGTCTGGCTGATAATTGTCCCTGTCCCAGTCCACGATGGCATCTGCGTTGCCTTTAAGGCCAATCTTGTCACGAGCGGCGTACCTGCCGCCATAGTCGCCCCACTGGCCATCGATTATCGGAGAGGCCTTGAGGGGGCTAGCTTGCTGCAAATTTTGCAAACGAAAGCTCTGCGCTGACCCAGCCTGACTGGGCTGCTGGATAACAGCACTCCAGTCTCCAGAATCGCGCCGCTTTCGAGGACTAACTTTGCCACCAGGAAGCAGAGATGCGAAAGATGGGCCCGTCTCAGTCTTGTCGCTCGCCTCACTATTATTATCATCCGACTCCTGACTGGCCTGCGCGGCTTGGGCGGGACGATTTGAGGCCAGGAAGTCACTGAAGTCAGCAACAGGCGACTCGTCCTCTTCTTCGTCAGAATCGTCGAGGTCGCTGGAAACGACATTGGCGCCCTTTGGAACTCTTGCTCGACTAGTGGCATGGGTCTGCTCTTTGGCCAGCATCTGCTTGGTGTCCTTCGGCACGTCTGGTCTCTCCACGAATGGATTGATCTGAGAGTCCATCGTTCTTCCAACGCCTTGGAGCCACTTGTTCACACTGACATTCTCGCCAGCGTCCTCCATCTGCCATTGATCGCCCGCGATGCTCTCAGCTGGCTCGTTGCTCATCATCCGGTCGTCGCTAAGTGTCCCGAACGCGGGCAGCTGTAATGGTGCGCCTTGTACTGGACTGCCGTTGGTAATCAGCTTGTTCTTACCAGTACGGCCATTGAAGACGTGACCATCATTGGCGTCGAAGCTAAGACGAAAACGAAGTTAGCAAAATGTTCCGGCTCGAAAATGGTATTTTGCTTCACCATACCGAGCGGCTCTGCAAGTCACACCGGAGGCGAACAGGCTCTCCATCTTCTTGGTGACAGGAGCCAAAGTGCGCTCCAGAAGGCCAAACTCGTCCAAGTCACGCAGTCGAAAGACCTTCAGCAGCTCTACATTGGCGATAATAATGTGGCTGCGGGCGACTGGGCGGGCTTCAGAAGGTCGTGATTGCCTGGGGTGGTCTGGATTGCTCTCGACAAAGTTGTCAAGAGCATCGAATTTGCTATCGGCGAATCGAATGAGATCGTCGTTGTCCTACATCTGAGTCAGTACGAGAAATATTCGTGAGGCGGGTCATCTGCTCACGCCACTTTGCTCTTCGGCCTCTTCGTACTCGTCTATACGGCGCTTGATAATCTGGGAAAGGACTTCGTTGGCGTCCGGTCCTTTCATTGAGGGACATCTGATCTCGAAGGTGTCGGTGTCGGCGTTGTAGCAGCAGTCGACGGGAACATCGCGGACTGTGGTGACGAACTCTTGCCAGATTCTCTCTCGGGCCTGTTCGCTGAAGGCGTAGAGTGAGCTGTGAAAATATGTCGACATGCTTGCGATGCAACCGTGATGGCAGGCTTTACTTCTGAACAAGCGACTGGTTGGTGATGGAGTTGAAAAATCAGTTTGTGATGTAGTTTGGGAGCAAAAGTGACGTGGAAGCGAAGCTGCAGCTGCAGGAGCGTTTCGAGGCCGAGCTGGAGGCGACAAGACCCACCCAGAAGATTTTCGAGCAAGCAGGACATTGGACATCGCAGTCGACGTTGGTTCACATCAACAACGCTTCGGTATGGCCAAAAAGAAGACTCAAATCAAGCCGGCAGGCAGGAAGGTCGTCGCACAACTGGAGCTGCCAGACCCCGTACCACCAACCAAGTCGAAGAGAGCGCAGAAGCGCGAAGAAGCCATGTCACAGAAGGCACCCACTTCAGTCCCAGCACCATCAGTCGCGCCATCTGAGCAGGACGTAGCTCCTGCTGTCGCTCAAGGCCTGCCGCCCAGTCTACCACATCTATCGGCATCCAAAAAGCTCACGTCTCCAAAGCATCCCTTCGGAGTGGCGCTGGAGAAGGAGAAGGAGAGACAGCGCATGCTAGAGGAAGACGAGATTGACAGTGAGGCTGGCCCAGTGAAGCTCATGGCGCAGTTCGGGACCATCCTGATGCGATACGATGAGCAGGACTGGAAGAAGTTGACATACCGCGTCCACGATCCATCCGATCTCCAAGCCAGCTTCAGAAAGAACGCCGACTTCCTCAAGTCTGACTTCCTTAATCGTCTGACGACTTCCACCACAGATGCCACGTCTCTCATACATCTCGCTCGTGGCCAAGAAACACCGGAGCTGGAGACCGATACTCGCTACGACATCTTCGTTCGCGACACGGCTGGCGTCCTACTTAAGCTCACAGTCGATGCTTCCCGTAAGTCTGCGTACTCCATTAAGAAGTTAGACCGTATTGTCGGAGAAGCACTGTCGCATTTTCCCGTCCACGTCTGGGACGCCCGCTTCCTTATCGTCGAACTTGGTCTCGAAAGCGAGACAACCTCCTTGGCCCATATCAAAAATTTCATCATGTCAATTGAAACCGACCAAAAGGCTCCCTCTTTTCGAGCGCACGTCCCTCTCGGCATACGCATCGAAGTAGTCTTGGCCAAGCGAAGCTTCGCCTTCCACATCGACGAGATGAGATTTTCCGCCACACAAGTCCAAAGTCTGTGTCTGGAGAGTATGGACCGAAAGCACAATTTCCGTGCTCTGGCTCGTACGGAGGAGGATATGATTGCTGAGCAGCGACTGTGGTGGGAAGTTGGATGGGAGACGTTTGATTTGGAGAAGGCGGACTATCTGCAGGCCAAAGTCAATGAGATGGTGCCTCAGATGGATGCCGTTGGATTAGAGAATAAGGGACCGTTTGTTCGGCTGGAGGGCTACGAGGAAGCTCAGGGGCTCGAAGTGCCGGAGATTCCCTTTTGGTAGTCATTTCGCTGGTTTGCAGGTGTCGAAGGATTGCATGGCGAGACGTCGTGATTTACCAAGCACGCGAAGGAAGCCGCGAGCTGGTGTGCTGACGAGCTTCAACGCCGCGTTTGATTTATCATCTGCCAGCGCATACTTGGACTCATTGTAGCCCATTCACTGTGACCTCTTGTGTCAGCATTCAACTTCTGCAATTGAGGCCTACATCTCGAGCCCTTCCACTGTACCACGGCATCACGCCTTCCTCAACCGCTGCCAGTCTTTTCCAAAGATGCCTATCGCCGTGATGACAGGCTGCAATAGCGGCATTGCGCATGCGATGGCCAAGATTGCGTTGGAAGATGGATGGAAGGTCTATGCGTTGGATATTGTACTTGGTGATAAGCTGAAGTCCCTTGAGGGTCCCAGTTGCAAGATTGCGCGCTTGGATGTGACGAATCCTGAGTCAATCCATGAGTTCAAGAAATCCATTGGAGAAGAACCGATTGATGCTCTGCTCAACATTGCCGGTATGCTCTGCGCCGGATGATGTCCATATCAATCTGCAAACAATAGAAAAGCAGTTTACTTATGGTCCATTTCTCCTTACACAAGCGCTGCTGCCGAACATCTTGGCTGCACCAGAGCCCCGTCGCCTATCGGTAGTATCTTCAAGGGTTGGCTCGATTGTCGACAACACTTCAGGCGGATACTACGCATACCGAGCCTCCAAGACGGCAGTGAACAGCTTCTTCAAGCCACTGTCGGTCGGGCTCAAGGATAAGGGGGTTATCGTGACCGTGCTGCATCCTGGATTTACGAAGACGAATCTGGAGCCCGACATATGGAAGATGCCGGGTGTTGTAGAGCCAGAGGTTGCGGCGGGTGGGCTGTGGAAGATGGTGCTCGAGAAGGGCATTGAAGAGACTGGCAAGTTCTGGCACAGGGACAATTTCGAGCTTCCTTGGTGAACATGTCTTCTGCAGACTAGATGATATAGACATGCATACACATACCATGAACCTCGACACGGCAAAGGCCATCGCTCTGGTCAGAAAACCACTGTCCCGTTCGGGTTGAGGCACGTCGTTGCGAGCGACCAGCTGGCCGCCGTACAAGTTGGGGCCTGGTCACGATGATGTCTACGCTATTCTATTGAACAAGCGGCTAGAGTCTCTGTCTTTGCAGAGATGAGAGTGCCTCCTTCCTCCGTGACGCTTGCTCGAGGCGTCGGAACTCGCCATCGACGACGGAAAGTGTGCCGAGAGCCGAGAGCCGAGATTGCCTCTGTCTCTCTCTTACAGCAACAGCAACAACGCTCCCTCTCACCACCATCCCCTCCCTCATACAACAGAGATACTACTATACAGATCAGCACCATAAGCATCTCTCTTCTCCTCGAATCCTCGGAATCATGATTTCACGTCTGCCGTCCGTCTGCTACGCTCCCCGGCAGATAACCCATATCCATCGCCATCGCCAAGGGTCCGCAGTGGAAACTTGCTCAGCCAAGAACTTCTCAACCTCAAACGAACAATATGGCCGAGAAAGATTGTCCACGTCTCAAGCTGATTCTCCCACCGATCGTATTCTCAGTAGTCAAGTGCCGCTGTGCTGTGGCGTGGCTTACATCCATTCTTCTCAAACGTGCTCATTACATTTTCTCCTGGCTATAATGAACTTCGAGAAGGAATGCAGCAGTCTTATTAACACCACAAAGGCATGTTCCTTTGAACTCTGACTTTGGACCACTTCATTCCCTCACACCATGGCTTCTTCCTCTTCCGAACTTCTGGCAAGACACATCCAGGACCATAATGAAGCGAATACTACCACGAAACATTACTGGGCATATCCGAGTCGGGTCTTACCTTGTACTAAAGATGCTGGGACTTGCGAGTATTTGGAGGCAGTGTACAGTGGGCATGTGACTTCGATGCTGTATACTTTTATCCTTTGGGGTGCAATCTTGGGAGTATTGGCTGTTTGGACGGTTGTCAGGATCTTGAGGGCGGGCAGAGCAAGTCATGGTGCTGCGGCGCTGTTGCTGGATATCGGTGATCGTGTTTCGATGTTGAAGAGGAGGTTACTTCCTGATGCGCCTATGCGCTGGTTGTTTGGGAGGATTAGCAGATTGCAAGTGGTTATTTTAGCGGTGATGTTGGCGTACCTTCTTGTCTTCTCGTAAGTGCCATCGTTACCCTGTCGAGAAATATGCTGATGTGTCTAGGCTGGTGAATATCTGGTATCAAACCAGAGTGACGCCAATTAAGAATTCGACTCTGCATAACACGCGAACAGGGCTGGGGCCATGGAGTGATCGCATAGGCGCTCTAGCGTATGCACTCACTCCGTTCACGGTGATGCTATGCATGCGAGAGAGCGCCCTTTCACTCATTACCGGTATCCCCTACCAGCACTTCAACTTTCTCCATCGATGGCTTGGACGAGTGATATTTGTGCAGAGCGCATTGCACACCATTGGCTGGACCATCATCGAAGCCAAGCTATATCAGCCGCAGCCGAAGACATACGTCGACTTCATCAAGCAGCAGTACATGATCTTTGGATGCATAGCTATGGCCTTCGTCAGCTTTCTGACAGTGTTCAGCACCAAGTGGGCGATTCGCAAAACCGGCTATGAGTGTTTCAAGATGACACACTGGATCATTGCTGTCTTGTACATCGGAGCTTGTTGGGGTCATTGGGACAAGCTATGGTGCTGGATGGTGCCCAGCTTGGCGTTGATTGTGATCGACCAAGTTGTGCGCGGCTTGCGAGTCGCATATATTCACATGGGTGGGACGAAAGGCAGCGACTTTGGTTTCAGGTGCGCGCAAGCCGATGTTCAGGTATTGACGGACGACAACGGGACTGTTATCAGACTGGACTTCGACTACGAGCATCGTCAGCCTTGGGGAGTAGGTCAGCACTTTTACTTGACCTTTCCAAGCTTGAGCATCTGGCAAAGTCATCCATACACTGTCTCTTCAGTGCCACAGCCAAATAGTAAAGTGCAGCATCACACCTACTTGATCCGAGTGCGAGACGGCCAAACCAAGACACTTGCACAGCTTGGAAACACGACTATACCGGTAATCCTCACTGGTGCTTATGGGAATAGGTTTCCATCTTACCAGAGCCAACACATCCTTGCCATCGCCGGTGGAACAGGAGTAACATTCACATATCCTATCATCGTGTCGGCTATCCAGCAGTGCATCACTAAAGCAGCAGTCCTGGACTTTGTATGGATTGTGCGCAAAGCAGAAGACCTGCTGTGGCTGAGCAGTGAGCTATCCCGGCTCAAAACACTTCTCAGCGAAAGGGCAGGATTGAAAGTATCAATATACGTCAGCCGCGATGTTCAACACAAGCTGAAGTCGCCAACGAAAGCAAGAGCAGAGTCTCCGTTGCGTGAGAAGGCTGGAATCGAGACGACAGTCTCGTCACTATCCTCTCGAAAATCGGACGTGTCGCTGGACGAGCTATTAGCGATCAGCCATCCTCGGTTTGCGGTTCATTGGTTGAAAGACCATCACCCGTCCTGTACAGAAATTGTATCCGACTTCCGAGAAAGAAGTCTCATGGTCGGCGGAGGTGCTGAGATTGTGGGAAGCGGTCCCGAGGCCATGGGAAGTGACCTGAGGGCGGCTGTTGCGAAGCTCGAAATAATAGACGAGCAGTTAGGCTTCTACTGGGATTCCAGAGAATAGATATGTGGCTCATGATGTCCAACGACACGATCATATTCTCTCTTTCTGCAACACCGTTTCACGTGAGACACATATACAGTGGCCTGGAACCTTTTCCTAACATGCAGGTCGTCGTCACATGTGCATATACTAGCCGCACCTTAGCGAAACCCACAAGCAGCACGTGTATTGCTAGGAACCCGTGTTCTGCATCAATTCCGGCTGTTTTTGAACTTATATCTAGGAACAGGAAAGGTGCTGTTCGCATCAGCAGACTGGAAAAAGTCTCGTGGTGGCGAAGTCCGAAACGTGCCTGCTTTGATCGCGGTCATATATGCCACGACATGACGCTGCGCACGCCAGTATCTTGTTAGCAGTGCGTCCAAGCAGGCATCTACGAATCACAACGAGGTGGTGTCCAGGCGTTCGTGCTAGGCAAGTCGTGGCCTTTCGTTGAACAACTTGGAATTGCAGTATGTTGTCCAGGCTTGATTGTAGCGTGATCAGAGAGCGTGTTGCTGTGGATTGCTCCGTTTCTTGCTTCATCCACCTAGGATGCGATGCTGACGAGACATATAAGCAGCGCAAAGAATGTTGGTGTAAGAAGAAGAGTAATCGACCGAGGATGGGAATGTGAAACAGTGTGTGGTGCATAAGATCGGCAGGCCGGGAAGTGGGTCTGAATCTGTGAAGTATGTCTCTACGTAAGCAACATTCATCAGCCAAGCTCCCCGATGACATTCGTCGACTCGTATCTGGAAGGCAGGGGACAGCAGGGGACGCTCGAGGCACCGCATACGCAATACGCAATACGCTGATGAATACCGAGTTGCAGATACTCACGATCACCCTCGCCTTTGACCGATGCTGCGGAGGATTGCACTGGCCCTTCGGAGTGCGTAGAGTGTGCTGTTAAGGATGCCTCAAGTGCCTGGACGACCGCAGCGCATTCGCCCAAAACACCAGCAGTTGATCTTGAAGTGCTATCCTCGCCTGCCCAAGAACTCGGCAGCAGACGTCAGGCCGAACAGCTCGGAGTTGTCATATTTGCTCTACTACGCCAGCACGCGGCAACACAAGCTCCCCAAAGTCGGCCACTTCCTGGAAACGCGCACAGCCAGCGATGTCTACCATTGGCAAAGTGCCGCAGTACATGTCACGCTGCAGATCCTCACGGCGATTCTTGAGCACAATACCATCAATCGCGCTTCGGGCTTTGCGCTCATAGCACCCTTCGTAAGTCTTTCCGTTCAGCGCCTATGCGCGACGCCAGGCATCGGCGCTGACATGAGCCTCAGGTATTGCGCATCATCCGCGAAATCGTCAACAAGACCAACGATATCAGCCTGATCGAGGCAACGACGCGCACATGGGACGTCTTCTGCCAGCATCAAGATGCAGCCAGCCTGGCCGCCGACTCCGAATACCGAGCACTTTACGTCGAAGTCGTGCGCATCTACTCCGACCTGGCCAGGAACACATCCAAGAAGATTGGCAAAGCTACGACGCCAGTGGCATCTCATGATGCTCTGCGCCTGCGCAAGGCAGGAGTTGCCGCCATTACGAGCATCTTTGCCCCGACAGAGCAATTCGAGCGCGTGTGGAATCGCGAGTTTGATGCGTCCATGGCCGCAATCCTAAGCAACTTGCGCAATCCAGACAAGCGAGATTATATCGAGCACTTCAAGAGCTTGGCCAACAAATCAGAAGTTGAAGAAGACAAGGAGCGGTCGTCAGTAAATCGAAGGCAGAGCATTGCAACCGTGCGAACCTTCTCTGGCCTGCCGGAAGACCATGAGCCGGACCCCCGGGCTGCTGAAGGCACTGTGCAAGATGCCGACCAACTTGAAGAGGAAGAGGCGGGAATGCTCGCCATTGACTGCCTGAAGATCATGTTTCAAACACAAAACCGGTCTCAAGTCCGCGCGGCCACTATCGCGTTCATGCGCTATATCGCTGAAGAGGAGAACCGACTGCTGTCATCAGGCAGTACCAAAGACATCAGCACGTGGGCAGCGCAGCTGTTCCGCCTGGTCACGCAGTGGACTTCGGTGCAAGACCGCTTCGTGATTCTCTACACTGCGCAAGATGTGCTCGGCAAGCTGCCAATCGAAGGCTCGTTCTTCCGACCGCACGAAACTTATGCCAAGATGATACAGAGCGTCGTCTGCTCGGACCTCAACCTGATCGGACTTTCAGTGATGGACGTCTTGATCGGGCTCATGTCATCAGTCCTGCGATCTGTCGCGTATTGTTCCAGACCAGACTCTGCTGCACTGTCGCCCCAGAATACGGCCTCCACCAACGAGAAGAATGCTGCTGCGAACACGATCCAGCAGCTGAAGGGTTGCATAGCCTGTCTTGCATCACATGTATACTACTCGGATCAGGTCACGGATATGATCGCAGCGATCCTCGTTCGAGTACGTGCATACCCATCAGCCTCCGACTTGAAGAAGGGGATCTTCGGGGAAGACCAGTCGCGTTCGCACAAAAAGCCAAAGGGATCCGTTAATGGAGCCACACCTTCTCAGCAACCAGGCACATCTGCGGACCCACGAGCGTCAAATAATGACATGTCAGTGGCTGCGAACGAGTCTACCAGGGAAATAGATGAAAGCACTGCAGAACCTGTTGATCGCTTCGACTCCAGAAGTATTCGACCTGAGACTAGCCCACGAGCCACCAGCTTACGAAGCGCATTCTTCACCACTGACGAAGCTCGCAAGACGGCACTGGAAATTATCAAAAACATCATCGAAGTTGCGCAGACGACTAGAAATCAAGCGCACGGAAATGTCGTGATCAACCGCAACCGAGTTCCGGTGGGAGTATGGGATGGCACACAATGGCTTGCTCGGACTGGTGCGGAAGAAGTAAGGAATGCATACAAAGACACCGTCGCGACTTGGGCCAAATACGAATCCGAAGAGAAGGACTCCAACATGCTCGACTTCGAAGCCGACGACTGTTTCGGCAAATTCGTCGAAAAGACCTCTCCAGCATCATTCCGTACTGGCAGCGTGGGACAAAGCTATCAAAGCCATCCTCAACTCCTAATGCTGCCAAATTTTGGCGTCGAGAGACGTTTAAGTTCCGGCCAGAATACCAGTAATGGTACAGATCATATTGCTTCTAACCATAAACCTAGAATCCGGGCGAAAGATCTCGAGGATGTTTTGGAAGGGAAACGACAGGTGGAACTTCATCAGCAAATTGGATTTGCACCGGGGACTGAGAAGGCGGATTTGAGGAGTCTTCTTGCGGGTCTTAAGATTGAGGAGAAGAGGAGAACTAATGCTATTATGGCTGCTCCGCCTTACTGAGGTGGGAAGTGAAGATGTATGATTTGATTGCGATCATGGAGAGGGATGGATGAGACGGATGGGTCTAGAGAAAACATGGGGAAAGTCGGGGCAACCAACCAGCTAGAGGAATGAAGGTGTGCGGAAGGGGGTTTTGGTTTGAGATGAAATGTGATGAGATACCCGGTCGGTTCAAAAACCAGCCACCAACAACAACACAAGAAGAACAAATTTTTTCATGTATTGTACTACTGTAAGATTACAATTTTACATCTAGATGGAATGTCAAGGGAAGAAGACAAAACACCATGATTTCTAGCATCTACCTCCTCTTTTCTTCGTTACCTTACTCTGTGCTAAAATCCGGACAATCAAACGCCCCAAACCCCTTCACAACACTCATCTCCTTCACATCAACCGGTTTCGTTTTAAACGTCCAACCTGCTACATCATTTCTCAAAATCTCTCTTCTTCCTTTTCTTCGAAAAATCCACGTGCCCAAAATCCCCAATTCACTGATAACTTCCCCGGCATATATGTCGTGATGAGGAGGAGGCGGACTCATGAGGTATCCGAATGTGGGAGGGGGGTGGATGAGTTGCATAAGGGTGTAGTTTTTGAATTCTGAGGGTGATTTGAGGGTTGAGAGGAAAGAAGGGATTGAAGGACCGAAGATGTTGTGGGTTCCGCCGCCTTCGAGGTTGGGTTTTAGGATGTGGTTTTCATAGTTGGGAGGTGGTGTTGAGGGGTTGGGGGATTGCATTGGCATGAAGGTTTTGCGGATTGAATGGGTGGAGGTTGAGGGGAGGAAGAGGTCGAGCTATGTGGAATGGTTGGTTAGCTACGATGGAGGAGGAGGAGGGGAGGGGGAGGTATATACTGTGCCGGGTTGTGTGAGAGCTGCTTGGACGGATTTAAAGGTTGTGAGATGGGTTAGGATATCTGGACATTTTATTGCGCGGGAGAGTTCGAGGTGGAGTCTTGGATTGCGTTCGTTGTCCATGTATTCCGATGGTTCGTAGCCTGCGCGGTAGTAGATTGTGGTGACTTCGAAGGTGTTGCGGAAGAGAAGGGTGCGGTCGGGGGTTAGGGTTGTTTGGGAAAGGACTTTGTGCCACTCGCAGCGGTAGCAGGGGATGTTTTTGTTTTCCCAAAGGCTGTATTCGATTGGTCTTTCGTCTGCTATGTTGAAGTTTTCTGGTTGGACGATCATCAGGATGCAGAGACGATGGGATGTTGTGGGTTTGTAGAGGTTGTGGACTTGTGATAGCATGGAGACAATTGATGAGATGTTGTCGTTGGATGGTAAAGTTTTCGTCGTATCCTGCGAGTTGTTAGATTTCTTCTGATAGGACCTGCGTGATCGAAAATGATGCTTAAGGGGAGAGTCGTGTTTGCTACCTACGTTCTGCACTCTGCTGATGTGCTTGTGCATTCTGGCTGCAGTCTGTGCGTGAAATGCTCCGGCGACAGAGAAAGTATTCATCTCCACCTGCTTGAGCGCTGGAGACGATTGTGCGCTGCTTGTGTGGAGCATATAGTCCGACCTGAATATACCGCAGACCACATCTTGGACTACACCGGCTGCCTTTACCTTGAGCCAAATGTCCCACAGGGAAGACAGGAACACATCTTGTTTCATCAATGGCTGGAACACCTCCTCGAGCCAAGGCTCATCACTGGCGGCTCGAATGTATAGCTCATTCATGCATGGCTGTAGTTTTTGCGCCTGCTCAAACGCTGCTCGTGGGAATCTCGTTGGCACAATGCTGACTCCCACAGGCCTGGCCTGGACTGTGGAGAGTTCTTCATACCGCACAAGCTTGAGGAGACTTCCATGCGTGATGAGATAGTCCTTGATCTCAGGGATGATTCTTTCGAGGTCTTCTTCGGTCATCGCTATGGCCAAGGCTCGGGTATCCTGCTTCGAGGAGGTCACTGCAGTGCGACGTGCTGGCCACATGTGAACCTGGCTGCGATCTTTGATTATTGGACTTGTCTCCCTGAGCACTAGCGGGTGTTTGCTAAACGCTTGACGCCTCGGTTGCACCTGCGAGGATGTTCTGCATACCGGACCCGGTGCTAAAGCACGCTCGTGCCTTGACGGTACAATGTGACAATGTGTGTCGAAGGAGCGGCTGCCAAGACGGCGCTATCAGCTTGGAGGATTCACGTACAATCGACCTGTGACTCGCATGGTCTGTGACAGCATGTGAAGAAACAGCTTATTGCCGACTGCAATCCGGATATATCATATACGTTGCTTGAGCGAAGTCGCCCACAATCTGTATGAGATTCCGATTCCGAGCGACGGCGAAGACGGCGATCTCGCTCACAGCTTCATTCAGGCACGGCTAACCTCGGCTCCAAGCTTTTCTGGGCTGCTTAATGTTTACGCTCGCTGCCCTGGAGCTGGCCATTGATCTCTGCCTGCAGCTGCTCTAAAAAATCTTTTGGGGGAACAACAGCGCATGAATCCTGCTTTCATCTGCCCTCGCACTTGATACTATTAGCACACTCCCTTGTTGTGCAGTGCACACAGCAATGTCGTCCATCGCAGCGCGAAGCTTGCTCCGAACAACCACCAGAAGCCTAAGCCGGAGCAGCAAAGCTCCGCTCTGCACGTCAAGCAGACTCGCTCAGACAGGTCTTAAGGCTGCCCGATCGCCCTTCACTCAGCTCCAATCCGCCAGAGCTTTCTCGACCACAATGGCTCCTCAATCGGGTGCTCCGCCGCCAGGCAAGGCGCCTGAGTATGATCCAGAAATCAAAGATATGGCAGACTACATTCACAACTACAAGATCACCTCAGACCTCGCTGTACGAAAACCACGAGGGCTGTAGAGAAAGCAGTACCTAACACTTTTTCTTAGATCGATACGGCACGCTTCGTCTTCCTCGACACAATCGGTTGCGGTCTCCGAGCTCTCGAATTTCCTTCTTGCACAAAGCTCCTCGGCCCAGTAGTGCCAGGAACCACAGTGCCGAACGGTACTCGCGTGCCTGGCACTCCATATGTGCTCGACCCCATCAACGGCGCTTTCAACATCGGGGCCATGATCAGATGGCTGGACTTCAACGACTGCTGGCTGGCTGCTGAGTGGGGCCATCCATCCGACAACTTAGGTGCGATCCTCGCTGTTGCAGACTGGGCAAACAGGACGAACAAGGCAGGAACACAAAAGATTGGCAATGGACAGCAGTTCAAAATCCACGATATACTTGAGGGCATGATCAAGGCACATGAAATCCAGGGTTGCTTGGCCTTGGAGAACAGCTTCAACAAGGTCGGTCTTGATCACGTTGTCAATGTCAAGGTTGCCTCGACTGCAGTTGTTTCCAAGATGCTTGGCTTGAACGAGGAGCAGACCAAGGCCGCAATTTCCCAAGCTTGGGTTGACGGACAGAGCATGCGTACCTACCGACACTCTCCCAACACCATGTCCAGAAAGTCCTGGGCCGCTGGTGACGCCTGCCAGCGTGCAGTAGACATGGCTCTCAAGGTCCTTAAGGGCGAGGGTGGTGTCCCAACTGTCCTCTCCACTCCTACCTGGGGTTTCTACGATGTCAACTTCAGAGGCAAGAAGTTCAAGTTCCAGCGACCATATGGCAGCTACGTCATGGAGAACGTCCTGTTCAAGGTTTCGTACCCGGCTGAGTTCCACTCGCAGACAGCTGTGGAGGCTGCTGAGCGCATCCACCACCAGCTCAAGGAGATGGGCAAGTCCGCCGAGGACATCGAATCTGTTGTCAACCGCACACACGAGGCCTGCATTCGTATCATTGATAAGCAGTTCAAGCCCATGGACAACTACGCCGATCGTGACCACTGTGTTCAGTACATGGCTGCTACTATGTTGGTCTTTGGCAGACTTACTGCTGATGACTACACTGATGGTGGTGAGGCTGCCACAAGCCCACTGGTCGAGAGCCTGAGACAGAAGATCGAATGCCGAGAAGACCCACAGTTCACCGCAGACTACCATGACCCAGAGAAGCGAACTATCTCCAACGCTCTGACCGTCAAGCTGAAGGACGGCACTGTGCTTCCAGAGGTTGTCGTTGAGGCACCTCTTGGACACAGACTGCGCAGAGAAGAGGCCAAGCCAGAGATCCTGCTCAAGTTCAAGAACCACATTGCACCACACTTCTCTGCTGAGCATACCAAGAAGTTGGTCGACCTCCACAACGACACTGCCACCCTTTACAAGATGCCCGTTGACGAATACATGGATCTGTACGTGAAGGAAAAGATTTTGTAAATACTTAGAGTGCATTGAGGTATTTCCGCTGTATTGCTCAGCGAATATCATTGGATAAACGGGACAAAAGAGCCTGCAAGTTCACGATTCGAAGACAGTCTCCCGCACTGCCCTTCCAGGCCACACAGCCTGAGGCAGGCGTCTTCAGAAACAAGCCTTCCGCCAAGAGTGCCAATTTCTGATTCCGCAACTTCATCACTCATCTTAGACAGCGCTCTCAATTCCTTGTCCATCCTATATGAGTCAGATGCGATATCGCGGTCAGCTGGCAGTGCTATCGCACGAGAATGCATACATGTATCAATTGAGAGTTCGAGCAATGACGCAGCCTCAGCTTCAAGCTCCCGGGAGAATCGGCATGAGAAAGAATCTCAATCCTGCTATCAACACATTCAAATGCTCGATTCTACCATGTTCGCGGCACTGCACGGATCGTCACATGATACAGTGAATCCCTTCGTCGTCATGTCGGTGGCTATTGGATACTTCGCCAGACATTGTGGCTATGTCGCAAAGCCGATACCACCGACCTGAGCGCGTATACAGCTGGACACGCGGCGCAGAGCATGACGTCCCATGGCCAAAGCAGGGCATTGCTAGGCAAACATTCAAAGATATTGCATATCTATGCTGCGCAGAAGGTCACGATTTGTGTAAGCTCACACTTCCACAGAGCAGCTAATTCAGCAACACACTCGACACACTGATTGAAGATGTCTGACAACGAAGTACGACCCGCGATGCCTCCAAGACCGAATGAGCAACATCCAGAGCTACCGCCTAGGCCCGGACAGCAAGCAGATATTCCAGCGTATAATCCACAAGACTACGCCAATCAACCGATGGGTACCACTCAGTTCGAGCAGCCAGGACGGCTGAGCCTCGAGAAAGAAGATGTCGCATCTCCTATACATTTTACTCGAGACCCACACAAATTGATCGGATACCTGGTGCCCTTCCCAAAGCCTCACTTATCCGGTACAGCGAGTGAGCAGATACCTCAGCGATTCTTGATCTACACGCCTCCTCCGCCGCCGTTCATGTCCAAGCCAAAAGAAGGCGAGAAAGAGGGGAAGGTCCACAAGGTCCAACGGAAATGGCAGGAAGAGTTACGTGAGGCAAAGACACAGAACGTCAAGACTATGTCGTGGAAGGGTGTCAAGGGCAACGTCACAAAAGGAATTAGCTGGGGCATGTCAAAGACCAAAGGTTCCAACCTTGAATTCCTCAATCGAATTGCATCAATGCAAGATAGTGAGGATCATCATGCAGACGACGGTCACGTCGAGGGCGAGCAGACTAAGAAGACTATCAAGCTTGAAGAAATGCTCATGGTGTATCCCGCCAGCATGCCTGGCACCAACGAACAGATCCGCGAGGAGTTCGTCAACACCATGCTCCGGTCAAAATCCAAAGCACAACGCGACTCCATCATCGCCACTGGCCTGTTACCAGTCAGCTTCGCCATAGACATGCTAGCTGTTCTAGTCTGGCCATTCGGAGGCCTTCTCGAAATCGACGCAGTCTGGCTATACAGCAGCATCCGTGGCGCCAAAGTCAGTCGCAGCGTAACAAAACGTTTGACTTCAACCTCCACCTCCGGCAAGCATGACGACGACGGTGACAAATTAACCTTGAACTTCGTGCCTTCGCCTACCATTCAAGTCCTCGAACGCTACCTTGCCGCCAAATGCCATGAACGCGATCCAAAGCTTTTCCCAAAATTCTCGGTGGCGCCTAGTGAAACGGAAGTTCTGGAAGGTATTGGTTGGTTCCCGGCGCATAAAGGTGGGGGGGAGAGGAATTGGGAGGATGAGCAGTTTGAGATTAGTGAGGTTAAGGATGATGTTAGGAATACGTTTTCGAAAGGGGCGAGGGAGTGGGGGAAGTGGGTTAGGATTTTTGAGAAGGAGCCGGAGAAAGCTGTTAAGAAGTAGGGTGTAGGATCTTGGGGCAAGCTCTATATACGGTGACTTTCTTTTCTGTGTCGCCCGGTTTTCTTCTGTTGGCAATTCCCGCTTTTCGTTTTTTATATCGAGAAGGTGAGCTGCGTAGGTCTACCAATCAAGGAGCTTGTTTGGTTTTGGGCGAGGTTCTGTTCTGCTAGCATTGCCGTGTTTCAGGCTGTGTATACCGCCGTCGCCAACATCGTTGCGGCCATCCATATCGAGCAGCATGGTGGTCAATGCAGATTACGTGTCCCTTAAGTTCGTTCCAGCAGTCAACGTCAACACCATAAGCACAGCGTCATCCCAGCAACATCAAAGGCGAAGTCCTGGTGTCGATGGGGGAGATTGGGACTGCTTCAATGCCTACCGCTGGAAACCAGTGGTCTGGTCAGTTCGATACTTGGAATTGTTGGCACACTTACCCTTCCAAATTAATCTATATTCCCATTCGACGAGCAACGTCGAGCATCATCTCCCCAAAATCCACAAGATAACTCACTCAATTCACCTTCTTCTGCCCCGTCCCCTTCAACCTCCACAACTGAAACATCCTCGTCATAACCGCCCCCATAACCCACCTGGGCAAAAACGTATAAACAAACCAAACCACCCAACTCTTCCCCCCCTCCCAAATCCGATCCTTCCCAGGCCGCGTCAAAAGCTGCCCCACAACCCTCCTCGCATACTCCTCATTCGGCACCCCATTACTCTGACTGTGCACAAGCCTCTCCTCATACATATCGCGGATCGGCAAATAAATCGAATTTTCGGGTAAAGTCCTCTTCGTCCTGGCAATATTACTCTTCACACCCCCCGTCACCACCGTCACGACTTTCACATCAAAAGGCGCGAGCTCCACCCTCAAGGTTTCCGAGTACGCGTGCAAAGCGGCTTTCGACGCGTTGTACACCGATCCAAACACGTAGGGTAAAATCGCAGCCAGAGATCCGATTTGGACGATTGTGCCTTTCGAGGCGATTAACATTGGGGTGAAAATTTGACACAGGCTCATTACGGCGAAGACGTTGGTTTCGAAGGTTTCTCGTACTTCGTTTAGTTCTATGTCGGTGGCGGGGACGGTGTAGTTGCGGCCGGCGTTGTTGATCAGGAAGTCTAGTTTTCCGCCTCCGGTTCGCGCCGAGATTTCTGAGGCGAGGGTTTGGATTGAGGGGGAGGATGTTGCTTCTAAGGAGAGGGTTTCGATTCCTTGGGATTCTAGGTCGGTGATGGTAGAGGTTTTGCGGGCGGTTGCGAAGACGCGGAAATTTTTGCGGTGGAATTCTAGGGCTAGGGAGTGGCCGATGCCGCCGGGGGAACAGCCTGTTATCAGGACGGTTTTTCTGGTGTCGGTCATTTTGGTTGTTGGCTTTGATGGTGGGATGGGAGGGGAGGGAGTGTTGTTGGTGGAGATGGAGGCATGGGCCAGGGAAGGGTGCTGTTCGCAGCTGCTGATTGGCTGAGTCATGGGACGCGCTAAGAAATGTCTTTTTTCGAGCGGACCGCCGACGCGTTTCGGGGGGTCGGCCCGGTGTGGTGTATACCGACACGCAGAGAGCATTGGAGAAATGAGCTGGCTTCTGGTTCAGTTCGTCCACCCGCGACAATGGAATTCGATGCGATAGAATATCTGGCGACCCTGCTAATCGATGTCTGCATTGCTCTCACAGGTCGTGCACCCCATGCCGGTTGTCACCTCCCGCACTACCTCTATTCAGGCGCCCCGCTTTGTAGGCTTGCATGGACCTTCTACCTAAATTTAGTACCTTCCACCTTCTACCTTCTACCTTCTACCTTCTACCTTCTACTCTATCTCTACGTCCTTACATTATCTCTCCGCTAAGTATACTAATATATATCTAGCTTAGCGGTCTATACTAAGCCTATAGCGAAGCGCCTAAAAGAAAACCGTATAGCTCCTATATAACCGTCCGGTATACAAACGAGAATTCGAATTTATAGAAGCACAACTATATATTAGATAGACAAACCTAAAAAAGCTGTTCTGCGCAATAATACGATCTTTTAAAATAGCTATATAAAGTATACGTTAAAATATTAAATTAAAGCTATAGATACGATCTTTTAAGACAGGTCTTCTAGTAACTGCGTTTGTTCTACCCTCCTTTGTATTACTTATATACAAACGGTATGTAAAACGCTAAGTAAATTACGAGCAGACCCTTAGATTAACCGCCGCTCGTACCTCCGACTCTTAGAATATCTATATTCTTAACCCTTTGCCTTTATCTTACTACCGAGGGCTACACTATACTACTAGCACATATGCACCTTCACTCGTAGTAATTCCTTTATCTAGCACGTTCTTAGACTCGAATAGGCCTAACGAAGGGTCTAGAGAGCCCTTTAGATACCTATTTGCCTTATCGTACCTCGCTATCGCACCTCGCCGTCGCCTACTAATAGTATACTATAACTAACCTACCGCGACTAACCTATCGCGACTAACCTATCGCGACTAACCTATCGCGACTAACCTACTAACAAACAGACAATAGCGCTACCTCCGAGGGGCACTCGCAAGTAGCGTAATAGGGAGAAGAAGGATAGGGCTAAGAAGCGTAAGACTAATAGATAGCAGAATAAATCCGAGTAGCACTTTCTAACAGCACTTCTAGGTCGCGCCGCTATAACTCGAGAGCGCCCGGATTTTAGTTACTTACTACCGGTCTAGTAGCCTAAGAACAAGCGAGATTATAAAGCATAGTTCTAGACCCGTTACGATCGTATTAACGCCGCCGATAACCTATTGTCGTAGGACTAAGTTAAGCAACTCGTATATAATGCCGCAGCTTCTCTAGAGGCTAAGAATATCTACCGTAATATCGTTACCGCTAGCCTTGTTAAGCTATTAGATCGCCTTTATCTAGGAAAAGGATATTAGCCGAAGGACGTCTAGATCGATCTAGTCTTCGCGCTAATCTTCGGCGGTAGCGATGTTCTATAGATCTCGAAGATAGGCGAGGGCAAGAGCTTAGTATTTATAGCCTTTACGTATTTAACTAGCCTTATTACCCTCTAGTTTATACCGCTAAATCGCCTTAGCGAGGAGTAGGCTAAGGTCGTCGAGAACCGGTATTAATAGCTGCAGTTAGATAGCTAGTTAGATGGCTAGTTAGATAGCTAGTTAGATAGCTAGCCGATCGAGCGAGATAGCATTGTTAACGCTATTAATATTACCTCCGAAACTATAAGCCTCTATCCTAAGCTATACGACTATATTACTAATAGTAGATATTATTATATTATCCTAAGTCTAGAAACCGGTGCTAGTCTAGCCTTTAGGAAGCTACTATAGGACCCTAAGGTTCGTGCCCGTATCGGTCTCGTAGTAATCGATAAAGTCCATCTTATTAACAAGTAGCGTAACTTTCGGAAGGAATATATATAGATCTTCGCTCTACGTAAGTTGCTCCGTAATAACACAGTTTAGCTCGGCTGTTCTGCGACAATGTCCGAGGATATAGAGGACTTTGTACTTAAATATAGTAGATTTCGTCTAGTTAGTAATTAGCTATTCTAGACTAAGATTATTCGTAGTAGTGTCGATCGTCTAGATACTACGCATATCCTACGTACTATTCTAAAGAATTAGCTCCGCTTATACGAGTACCTATATTTCGCTATTAATAGTGCATTCGACCTAGAGACTAAGGAAGCTACGCCGATAAACATTAAGAAGGCCCTCTTATTTATTAATAGTCGTAAGTATGTCTAGGATCTAGCTAATGTTATTCGGTATTAGCTAGTCGCAACGACTGCTAAGTATAGGGACTAGAAGAAACGATATATATAGGACAACAAAGGTGTTAATGTATATACTATAGTAACATTCTATACTAGCAGTGTCGCTAAGCGAGACTAGAAGCGCCGGTATAACCGCTTCTATAAGACTATAGAGCATCTAGATAGGCTATCGGAATACCGGATTATAGTTACTACTACTGCTTTTAGTGTTAGCCTAAATATACCAGATATTAAGCTTGTTTACTAGACTAGGTTTACTCTTGCGCGCGATATCGAGGATGTTGTCTAACGTCTTAGCCGTACCGGTCGTGCCATTCTACGTAGTTTAGCCTTCATCTTCCTACTATACTATATCGATAATCGTCTTAAGTAGCCGCGGCTAGAATCTAACTATCCGGCAATTAAGCCTCGCCGACGTAGATCGCATAGAGCATTCCGGCTATTAGGGCTCCGCTAGTCTAAGCTTCTAGGAGAAGATGCTAATACGCTAGGTACTCGAGAAGCCGCTAATAATAATAATAATAATAATAGCAATAGCGATAGAAACTACTAGACTAAGAAAGAGATAGAGCTTCGCGATAAGATTCCTCGGATTTGGCGGGAGTTCTAGAATAACTATCTGCGCGAACAATACGGCATGTGTCTACGCAAAGTCGTCCTTCGCTACCTCGGTAAGGATAAGGCAGTATATACCTAGCAACTACTAGTAGTAGAAGATTGCTATAACATCTATAACCTAGAACTAGACGCTCTTTATATTAATATACCTCTAGAGGGTATTACTCCCCCGAAATTCAAGGCTCCGAGAGCTAGCACTCGTCTAGCAATTAGATTTAGTATACTAAAGGATTAGATATTAAAGCGGCCTGCCCTTTAGTATCTAGATTAGTTAAGCTATATTCGATTCGACCTTCTATCGACTAAGGTTATAGACGATCCGATTCTAGCTAATATCGCTAATATCTTTACTGCCGCTAACTTAGTTAATGAATAGAACGAGAGTGTTACTATCGATTAGGATCTCCTTAAGTAGAAGGCGCTAGTATTTATAGACTAGTTCGAGAAGCTTTAGTAGTATAAGCAACTATTCGCTACCTTTTAGCTAATCGATACTCTAAAAAGCCTTAGTCTAGAGGTATTAACTAAGTAGCGTACTATTTATAATACGAGGAAGAGGGCTAAGGAAGATAGATAGAAGAAGGCCGAGGAAGAGGCTGCTCGAGAAGCGGCTTATAGCGCCCTAAATATACGTCTATCGGATACTATACTGCTACCTACAATGCCCTTTACTCTATAGTAGCGCGCTGCTACTCTAAATAAGTTAAGAAGCGGTATTATAGGCTCTACTAGCGTATAGGCTAACCTCCTTTATAGCCGTAACACTTAGGTATTAGGAACTCGAGGCTAGGAGCGCCTAGGCTTATCTAGTAGTCTTAGTCTACGTACTTAGCGATAGCTACCTCTATAGATTGATCCGACTACTAAATAGGCATATACTCGAGCTAAGCGGATTCTTAGCACCGTTACTCGTACTAACGAGGAGCGAGGTCGCGTATTGCGTACTAAGCGTAGACTCTCGGAAGCGGGTCGACGTATAATAGGCTCTTAAGGTAGCTCTCCTAGCAGGCGTTAATGCTGCAATTAGCGGTGAAATAGCCCTAGAATAGCGCTAGAAATAGCACTAGAAATGGCACTAGAATAGCGCTAGAATAGCGCTAGAAATAGCGCTAGAAATAGCGCTAGAAATAGCGCTAGAAATGGCGCTAGAAATGGCGCTAGAAATGGCGCTAGAAATAGCACTAGAAATAGCAGTAGAATAGCAGTAGAGTTGGCATTAACAAGATCCGTTATAGCTACCCTTCTATTATATCCTTATAAGCTCGCTAAGTCCTCGTCGCCGACTACAATCTCCTCGTCCGACTCGTTATTATCTATCGGTTCGTTAGGCCTATTCAGTTCTACGAGAGCTAGCTAAGCTGCTTCTGCGAGAGCTAGCCTAGTTGAGCTGCTTCTACGAGAGCTGCTTCTACGAGAGCTGCTTCTACGAGAGCTGCTTCTACGAGAGCTGCTTCTACGAGAGCTAGCCTAGTTAAGCTGCTTTAGCTGCTTCTGCGAGAGCTAGCGTATAGTAGTGCCTAGTTTAGCTGCTTCTACGAAAGCTAGCGTATAGTAGTGCCTAGTTCAGCTGCTTCTGCGAGAGCTAGCGCTAGAATTGGCACTAGAGATGGCGCTAGAGATAGCATTTAATAAGGTCCTTCCTTACTACCCTTCTATTATATCCTTATAAGCTCGCTAAGTCCTTATCCCATCCCCGGAAAAGTAAGCCGTAATACTACGCTCGATCGCGTTGCTTCTATAAGAGCTAGCGTATAATATAGGATACCTAGTTAAGTTGCTTCTACGAGAGCCGGTATGTAATGTAGGATGCCTAGTTTAGCTGCTTCTACGAGAGCTAGCCTAGTTTAGCTACTTCTACGAGAGCTAGCCTAGTTTAGCTACTTCTGCGAGAGCCGGTATATAATGTAGGATGCCTAGTTGAGCTGCTTCTGCGAGAACTAGCGCTAGAATTGGCGCTAGAATTGGCATTTAATAAGGTCCTTCCTTACTACCCTTCTATTATGTCCTTATAAGCTCGCTAAGTAGGCTCTTCTATTATGTCCTCGTAAGCTTACTAAGTAGGCTTTTCTATCGTATTCTTTGCGACGAGGGTTTGTAGATAGTTATAGGTATTAATAGTCGTATATGTCGATAGTCGTATATATCGATAGTATATAAGAGCTAGGCGAGAAGCGTAAATTCGAGGAAGCGACAAGGATGCCGAGTCCCGCTAAGACCCCGGATTTAGTATAGTAGAGCGCTTAATTAGTAGGATTAAACGTTATAGCTGCTTCCTTCCGCGTATTTACAATACCGACTTTTACGACTTTTATAATAGCATTACTAATATAGCGAGATACGTCGATTTAGCGCGTTTCTAGCAAATAGCGCTAACAAAAGTGTCTAATACGATAACGACGGCCGCCTTAGGCACTAAGAACCGCCTCCGAAACCTAAGAAGTTACTAATACTACTAATACTAGCGATACTAGCGACACTAGCGACACTAGCGATACTAGCGATACTAGCACTATACTTATTGCACCGCAGCTATTAGCACTATAATATATACGGCAAGGATAGATACGTAGGGCGATAACATATATCGAGCGTAAGCACTCTTTAAGAAGCTACGATAGCCCTCTTACGTTAACGCCCTCTATTACTTAGACTCTCCTAGAACGATTATTCCGATAACTAGTTACTATACGAGGCAGAGAAGAACGAGCAGTAGCGTCCGGGGATCTAATTAACTAGCGGCACTAAGCGGCTATAGAAGCATATACTCCGAAGCATACTACAATTATATATAGCCTATATACTACGCGTAATACGCAACAATTAACGCATTCTATTACTAACTATAGCACGAGGTATATAGGAAGGGACTTATTAAGCGAAACAACAATAGCTTATTCGCTAAAGCGACACTTATTAGTACCTAGATAACAATAGAGTATAACCGCGCCCTTAGTGTTAGAGATACCGCAAAAAAAAAGGTTATCGAGCGCGTTGCAGTCGTATAGTAATATTAATGCGCTTACTAGAAGAGGAGGCGTACTGCAGTCGGATAACAGTCTTAATGCGCTTTCGGATCGGTACGCACTATAGTCGAATAGCAGTCTTAATACGCAAAGGGCTGCAGTCGTGTAGCAGTAAAGACTAAGACTAAGACTAAGACTAAGCGCCTTCGGGCTTAATAAGTATACTAGAGGCCCTTACGCAACGACTAAGGTTATTATAACTAACAGTCCTAACGAAGGCGTTACGCCGACTTAACTAGATACGCGTATATTATCCTGTAAAGAATCCGAACGTAGGAAGCCTATAGCCGCTACTTAAGGTATACCTTACTAAAGAGTTTTTACCGAGTTAGGCCTAGCCGCTACTTAAGGTGTACCTTACTAAAGAGTTTTTACCGAGTTAGACCTGTAGCAATGCTACGAACCTATTAACCCACTTAGTCTATTAACCTACTTAGTAGGAGAGTCGCTATCGAGCCGCTACTTAAGATATACCTTACTAAAGAGTTTTTACCGAGTTAGACCGTTAGCCGTATTATAGGTGTACCTTACTAAAGAGTTTTTACCTCCGCTAATCTATCTAAGACCTCTGCAGTTTGCACTAAGACTACGATGTTCTAACAAAAACTATGCTCTTTTAGTTAAATACGCAGTCGACGCCCGCTAAAGCTATAGAAAACAACCTACTCGCTAGGAGAGTCGCCTTCGTAACGTCTTACGTCGGCAAAGCCTATCGGAGACCTTAAAAGAAAAGAAGGACTAAACAAACTCTACCGATCGAGGAACCTTAACTAACTTAAGCGGTTCTATCGGTAGCAAGCCGTAGGACTAGTTAGGAGATAGTGTTAATCGCTATAGAGCTACCTATATACGATAAAGAGGTATCGACACTATTGTATACGCCGATAGCTAGTATATTGCTAGGGGTGTTAGTGTGTTAGTGTATATAGAAGAAGAAGAAGAAGAAGTTAAACTAGGAAGCGTAGGTCTATATTAGCGTATCGCAGGTAAGGTTTGCCTCTACTAATAGGATTGCGCTATTTAGCTACAATAGCAAGGCAATAATAACGGCTATATATTATCGCACTTTCAACGCAATAGCCGCTAACTGCTGCTAGTTGAATGCCTAAGGCTAGAATTGCTAGCGACTAGAGGCATTATACGCCTAGCCTAGCTAGCTATTAAGCTATTATCGTACGCCTAGCTAAACCCTTCGTAGCTAGCTATTAAGCAATTATCGTACGCCTAGCCTAGCTAGCTATTAAGCAATTATCGTACGCCTAGCTAAACCCTTCGTAGCTAGCTATTAAGCAATTATCGTACGCCTAGTTAAACCCTTCGACTTTATAAGTACCCCCGACGAGGCACGTACTCTAGTCTACCGCTACTACTTCGCCGCTAACCGCCTAGTTAACGGGGCTATCGTTGTCGACGGCAAGCGCACTTATAAGATAAAGCTAGCACCTAAGAGATAAAGCTAGTAAGGAAGGCCTAAATAGTAGATATAGTAGGTTAGATTACTATAAACGAATATAAAAGCTATATTTATTTATTCCTTAGTCGCTATAACCGCTGCCCTTGTCTATATCTTAGTTACCGCCTGTCGTATCGACTACTTTAACCTCCGCATCGATAAGCTAAGCCTATCTATTAGTACGTTAGATAGCATCGACCTACTTAGAGTCGGTCTTATCGATAGTAGCACCCTATATATTGCTACGATTAGTCGTAGCCTTACGACTAGCCTTAGCAGCCTCTATGTCCTCTACGACTATATCCGTAATAGTAGAACGACCTTCGAAGTACTCCTTGTTACTTTAGTTAAATATAGCGACCTTCTCGCGGATCTAATCGCTACTAAGCTACTAGATATCGTCCGATACATACCTACTGTTATTACTATACGGAGCTATAAAGCTATCCGAGAATAGCTTCTCTACGCGGCTAAAGACGTTAATAGCCGTATTCTTATAGGTGTAGTAACTGCTTAGCTTAATACTAGTAAAGGAGGTTATTATATTACGTAGTATACGAGCCGGCTTGCGGTTAAGTGCGATCTTCTTAAAGGTTGCTAGCAGGTTATAAGTCGAGTTACCGATGCGATTAATGTCTTCTAAGTACTCGTAGTTATAGATCTCGAGCTACTTATCCGCCGCTATTGCATAACCCTTCTTCCTATTAGTAATAATGCTAGAAGACAGAATAGCTTCTTAGAGGATATTATTATAGCCTAGACTAAGCAGCTATCGCTTATATATTATTATCCGACTATAATTTCCCTACTTAGTACCGAGGAAACTAGGGATTAGATAGTCGACGGATCGACGGAGATAACTAATATCTGTGTTATAGACCCCGAGGCGTAGGGTAAGGAATATCTCAATCTCCTATATTATCCGAGCTATAGTAGTATACTAGGTATTAGGTACCGGCTTACTAACGCGGTACGGCAAGCTACGCTATGCCTCGATAGATAGGAGCTTCTTATAGATATCCTGCACTATCTCTAGGTATTGCTAAGCGGTTAGCCTAGATAGGGCCTCCTTAACTGTATCTATACGGCTCTCCTTACTAGAGATTACAACGCGGCCCTGCTTAGACAACCACTTAATAGCCGTACCGACACTACGAGCCCGGAATATAGTCTTAAGAAGCCGAAGGATCTCGAAGAATTTTAGCTTAGTGCTGCTAACCTTGTTCTCGCTATACTAGAATGCAGCATCGCCCTTTGCTGTCTAAGCGCTTAGAAGAGGCTTCCTATCGCTATTCTTATCCTAGTACGTACGTAGGATAGTAAATGCACAGTTTATTATAGTGTAGAACTAGGCTAGCGATATAAGGAGGCTGTCGCGCTTGTCGTACGGGTCCTTATTCTCGACACTCTCGTTACGCACGCTATACCTACGTACGACGGTTATATTGTCGCTATTCTATATATATAGAGGTCCCTCTAGCCCGCTCGCAAAGTCCTTGTCGCGGTCTAGGTCCTAGAACTTTAGTAGGATCTCGTCTTATATAGTATATATACCCTTAATAGTCGCCTCGTCGTTAAAGGAAATAGGCTACAAATATACCTCTATACGGGCCGGGTCTAACTCATCGATTACTAGCTATACTAGTCGCTTTAGATTACTACCGCTATTCTCGAAAATTGCCTTTACGGCCTCTAGGAACGTATACGTAATAGCCTTATCGATATAGAAGAGCGCAGTCTTAATACTAATATCGGAAACCTCCTCTCTATCCGGTCGTATTACCTTATCTTTATAGATATTCTTAAAGATCTTATTAGCGTTTAGCGGCTTGTCGTAATAGATTATCTTCTTCTTTAGGCTACTCTTCGGAATGCGCTTATTAACGGCTACATACGAGGTAGTTATAGCTACTATCTAGTTAGTATCGCTAGTAGCCTAGTCGGTACGGTTCTGTATCTAATTAAAATTGTCGATAGTACTACTATACTGCTTGTCGGGGTAGTTGCATAGCTTAGCAATTTGCGTCTCTATATAATTAGCATTCTTATCTATTAAGATCTAGATAGTCTAATATACTAGAGTAATGTTTAGGTTGTTTAAGACCTCGATCGTACGACGACTCGTACTATTACTAATAAGGAATATTCTAAGGGCCTTTAGAAAGAATAATGCCTTAATATAAGATATAGAATATAGGACTTAAGAGGTTAGTATCGTCGTACGCTTCCGCATAATATTACGCTTGTCCGCGAACTTAGTCCGGTACTAGTAATAATCGCGACGCACGTTAGGTAGCAGATCCTAGCCGAGTAACTAATGCTATATAGGAGCGACCTATTAGATAGTATCGTCTATATCTCTAAGGTCGATTTCGAAGTTATAGAACTCTAGTTTATATATACTAAACAAATCCTTGCTAATAAGGTTCTTTAGCTTATTGCGAATAATACGAGTACTAAATAGGCGATCTTCTAGAAAGGTATCGATAACAGCCTAGAGGTTCTTCTCGTATTGCTTAGAGCGCTTAGTAGTCTTACGAGTTTTAGCAGACGTAGATACTTTATCGCCCGGCTTGCCGACTAGATACTTAATAAAGTAGGTTATACTAACTTTATTCTTTACTATAGTATCCTTTAGCTCCTTATAATACTTGTCGAGGAGCCGCTTAAGCGCAACGTCTTTACTAGTACGGCGTACCATTTCTAGGGCCTCTTTATCTTTATCTTTATTTTTATCTTTATCGACTGTATTGTCTTTATCGCAAGTATCTAACTCCTCGTTACTACTAAGATCTTCGTCTTCTTCGCTAAAGTCTTTATCTATAGTCTCTAACTCCGACTGCTTATCTTCGAAGTCGCTAACCCTAGGTATATCCGCTAGTCGTACGATAGTCTCTAGTACATCGCTTAGGAAGCCGCTTATAGAGTGCATTAGTAATACTACTATCTGTCTAGGAAGAGGTAGACCGACTAGAGCGTACTAATAACCTAGCTAGCCTAGAAGTAGCGTATTATCTAAATCCTAGTTTATTAGATCGCCGCTATTATCTTACTACTAAGGCGGAAGGATTAGATTGCCTTTATCGTTGTAATTATATACCGTTATCTTACTAGAAGGTTCGTTAGACATTTTAAAGGATAGTAGTAGCAGTAGTGCTAGCGGTCTGCTAGCGGTCTGCTAGCGGTCTGCTAGCGGTCTGCTAGCGGTAGTAGCAGCGGTAGTAGCAGCGGTAGTAGCAGCGGTAGTAGCAGCAGTAGTAGCAGCGGTAGTAGTAGTAGTAGTAGTAGCGGTAGTAGCAGCGGTAGTGCTAGCGGTAGTAGTAGCGGTAGTGCTAGCGGTAGTGCTAGCGGTAGTGCTAGCGGTAGTGCTAGCGGTAGTACTAGCGGTCTACTAGCGGTCTGCTAGCGGTAGTAGCAGCAGTAGTAGCAGCTATAGTAGTAGTACTAGTAGCGACTTTTAGGTATTTTAACCTTAGCTTTAGAGTCGCGTCTGCTATATAGTAGCAACTTAATAACTATACCTCGGATAGACTTATACTATATACAAAAGGTGTTTAGAAATAGTCTACGAAGGACCTCGAAGTATCGAGTCGGCTATAGGAAGGTTGTCGATTACCCTTAAAAGCTATAAAGCGGTTAGTAGGTATCGGACAGAATTTTCGCCTATCTAAATAATAATTACTAGCATTAGGAGAAGGACCTCTAAGTATTAGCTAGGCGATGCGGTATATTATATGTTAAGGTGTTTCTAGCAGTATAGCTAGCCGCCTAGTAATCTAGATAGCTATAGTCGAGTCGGCTTAGTAGAATAGCGAAAACTTAACGCGCTAACGTCGTATAGACTTGTTTAATAGGTAGAATAAAGCGCAATTAGTAGGGCTACAACCTCCGCTATTTAGAATGTCTTATATACGTTATAGTGTTATATTAGTGTTTAGTAGGCTAGTTTCGTACGGGTTTATATTAGGCTCGTAGGCGAAGAATTGGGTAGAGTGCTCGTGATTGGTTGTCGGTAAGTTCGGAAGCTAGCCCTAATTACTAATCTATCACGTGCACTCGGTCGCAATATAATCCCCATTCATCACCTTCACGCAACTCAATTCTTTATGCCCACGAGCCTAAATGGAGGTAGCTCCCGCATACGCGCTCTCCTACCATGATTTTGCGAGCACCTCCGCTTCCAAATCTCGATGAGAGTTCCTATCCCCTCCTTGGGTACTGTGTTGGTCAGCTAGGCGGCAACCATACCCCGCTCGCGCTGGGCCTTATCGCAACAACTCATTCAACATGCCCATTCTCCTCCTCTCCCCCAAATCCCCCATCGTCTCCGTCCTTGACACGGAATTCCAACCTTCTCCCAGCCCTTGCCGGCAACGCACTGCAATCCTCCTCCGCATAAACTACTCAAACCCGTTTTTCCCACCCCGCTACCAGACGGCAAGCTCTGATTCTCAGAAGTCGCGGGTCGGGCGATGCAATGATAGGATTAAAGTCTGCGGATAGAAGGACTTACGACCGAGTTGAAGTTTCCGTTTCCGTCCATAGGTGTGCCGCCGCTGGGCTTTGAGGGTCACGATTTATGGAGCTAGGAATCGAGATCGTGCGGCCGTAGAGTTGGATGCTACCGGGACTGGGAGGATTGATATTGTTGCGTTCTGGTGATTGGGATCTGCTTAGAGCTTTGGTAGGTGGGAGCGTTAGAATATTAGGATTGCTGCCTTTTTAGGCCTTAGCTATAGATAGGTAGCTCTAATTTTCTTAAGGCTTATTAGTATTAGGCGATCAATACGATCCGGAGATGGGACTGCCGGTGGAATTCGTATTGCCGACTAGGCTAGGTGGTCCTTGTGATCTAAACAATCAGATTCCGGGAACGATCTACTTTGCAGAGTTCACAGGAGGTCGTCTTGGAAGGCTTGATTACTGATGTACCAAAGGCACGCGGAGTCACCAGTAATGTTTATTCTGATTGGGGGAAGGCTTGGATTAGCTACTCGTAGTACTCACGGCTCGTCGATTCAATCGGTTGCCATGACTTTCTGCACGCCCTCTGCGCGATAAAGTGGACCAGTGGACCATTTCTGGAGGAGCTAATAGTCACCTATTGTCCTCCTTTCCCCACGCGACTAGTCCATCTGATTGCATGCATGACTTAGAATTTACAACGTGTTTTTGCCACGTTCGATAAAGGTCTCCTTATCGTAGCCAAACCACTTTCGCAGCCGCTTGCCCATGGACTTGAGCATGATCGGATCGATGTGAGAATCTGGATGGGGGCGATGAAAGACGATGGATCCCTTTCCAGATTTTTCCTTGAAGGTGACAGCGGAGCCGCTGTTCGGCATGACAGAGAAGCCAATGTCAATGAGCGCCGCCACGAAGTCATCCCAATTGATGTGGCCTTTCTTCGCGAGCGCACTGGCATACATGCGACGGAACACAGTCAGACTAGTTTTGTCCACTGCGATCGTTTCTTGTGGAGTTGTGAAGGACTCCTGGTGCGGCTCTGCAATGCTCAGTGTCTGAAGATCCGAGTGCAATGGGCGACTTTTCTTCTTCTCTTTGACCTGCTGGACTGCAGTGTTCTCGGTCGAGGTGAAACCCCAAACAGACTGCGGCGTCTCGTTCTTTGGAAGCCGCAGACTCTCTTGAGATGGAATATGCGGTTTTGCTCGCTTAATTTTCTCTGTACCGCCCATTAGCATCACCGTTGATCCCCAGAGGAGAGGCACTTACCGAAACTCTTCGCTTCGACTGCAGCTGCCATTGCAGCACGCTCTTCCTCCAAATCTCGCCTGTACTCCTCAATAGTACTCGGAAACACTTTCTTCATAGCTCTGTCTAAGTCGGGGATAGGATCGAAAGAAGTCAAGATCTTGTGCAACCTCCATTCTCTCATAGCTTGCCAAAATTCGAACAAAGCCTTCTGCGACTTGTCAAAGGCGTCCAGGTCCCGGGTCTCGTATCTACCTGTGCAACGTGGCTGGTGTTCAAGCATTTGGAGCACAGGATGCAAGTATTCGTAGTTTGATATGGTGTAGAACGAATCGAAGACATGTTTCTCCGTCAATTTCTCCATCCACCTTTCCATTTGCGGAGGGTCCAGTCCGGCCACAAGCTCGATGATGCTGTTCTCGTCAGCAGTAGGCTTTGGTCGATCTCCAAGTGACATTAGCGACGTCATCCGTAGTCCTTGTGGTCGGTGCAATTTGATCTTGGTCAATGTGTCGTCGATGACCGCCATGTCCGAGACGGCCATATACATCATTCGACTGATCCTACGCGCTTCCTCATGAGGACGGCTTGCAAGAAGTCCATCAAGATGACGAACGTGGAGCGCTGCTGGAAACGACTTGTGGGACTCGTGCGTGTGGAGCATCGCGAGGTTGTAGAAGATTGGATCATGACGATGTGTCTTCTGGAGAGACGCATCGATGCCAAGAGCACCTATTTCCTTGTCGACATAACTGAAGTACTGTCGAAAATCGCTGGAAGCAGTAATAAGTTTTCCAAGATGATTCTGTTGCCGGTGAAATTGCAGGCTCAGCGCGAACTCGAAGATGGCAAGGGCGTTCGCGTATTGTTCTGGTAGCGGATGGCCAGGCCTAACCCGAGATGACAGCTCTGACATAATGCTCATGGCTTGCTCTGCTTCATCCAATAGATATTGCCAATCTTCGACTTTAGTGATGTTGATCATGACGACTTGAAGCTTGAGCTCTTCCCGACTTCCACCACTGAATGACTCTTGCGCTAACGAGCTATCAATCTTCGCCAGATGCTCTCGCAAATAATCAGCGTCAGTCTGAAGCAACCAAAGCTCATCCTCGCACGCTTGTAGTCGAGAGCGCAGTGTAGCCACAATCTCCGCCATGTTGAGGCAAGGTGGGGCAGAGAAGGGCGAGGTCAATGTCACGTCTTGTGTAATGGCTCCGGCAGTGGTAGCAAAACCGGTCGCAGCGAGTGTCTCAAACACATCGCATCCAGATTGCGCGTTTTCAGGTTGTGGATTGAGTAGAAGACCAACCACTGCCCGAAGTTGGCGGGAGAGTAACTCTTGAGCTTGCAAGGTCAGAAGAGCTCGCGGAAATCCCACAATGTCCCATCTATGAGCCGCGTCGCGATCCCAGAATGCTAGTCGGCCGTAGTACTCGCCATGCATGGTCATTGGTGATGCAATGCGGATTGTAAGTTGCCTCCATCATGCCCGATCTCAAGAAGTATGAGAATTGATGGCAGTCAAAGGCAGCCCATTGGACTGGGTTGAAATGAGTGCGATAATATAGAAGGGCTAAGAGGTTATTCGGGTTCTCGCTCAGCAGTTCGATGCTGAGATATGGCATAAGGTTGATCTTGCGAGTAAGCTTCCTGTCCTTGTCGAGAAATCTGGTGATCTTCAGCATCTCCTGAACGAAGCTAGCCTTCTGGGAGTATAGCTCGGGCATTGCTTGTGTTAGCAGATTCGCACGCTTGCTGACATTGCGTTTCAGCCAGCGCTTCATGATCGCATTGCCATACGTCTTGAGCTGTTGGCGCACGTGGCTGAGGTTCTCTTCCGTCTTCTCTCTGAGGTATTCAACTTTCTGCCGAGCCTCGTTGTCGCTCAGGAATTCTTCATAAGGTCGCGTGGCCAATCCCAAACCTGTTCGATATTGCTCCGAGCACTCTTCACAAGCATCGCGGCAGCCAGGCGAAGGGGCAGCGGAGCTGTATGGATATTTGGAGTCGCCGTATCCTGAGGTGGTGCCTGGTTTGCCGAGATCTTTCACGGCATTACCCAGTGCATCGCGAAAAGCCTTGGATCTCTGCATGTCCTTCATGCTCGGCATTCTTCCATGTTGTTGGTGGAATTTGCGGCATTCCTTTACAAGATCGCTCTTGTCAAGCTCTTCGAGAATGGCCGGATCTAGTGAGCTCCGGTCCATGGCGACGTTGTTGTAGGCCTGAGCTGTCGGCGGGAAGTGCGTGAAGCACTCGTGTAGGAAGTGAGAGACAAGAGTATCAGTGTCAAAGCGCACTCAACTAACAAAGCTCACTTTGGTCGCTCTGAATGCCTGCAGGTGATGCAGCCATGACTCCACAGTCCGTTAGAAACGTTTCAGAAAGCGCACGGGCTTTAAAGATGCCTCTAGCTTCACCGGTTCTTCATAAATGGCAGTCACGGAAATTCTGAATGGCGGTTTCATATGCCAAGCCTACACACACTCTCTCCAAACAAAGTAGGCACTCGCAGCGACCGAGGGCCCCCTCTCGCGGCCTGGAGGGTGGTTCTAGAGGAGGTACGATGACACGCCGCTGAGCGGAGGGGTGTCGGTTGCGAAGCCCTCGTCGGCGACCCCCTAAGATTCTATCTTTCAAAGCACGTAGCGACCGTAACCCGAGTAACGAGGGGAGCATTAGCATTGATCCGCTATCTCGAATTTTTCTGACCGCCGTTTATCCATTTCACCTACCTTCAAGGTGAACCGCGCTGGAACTCCAGTCTGGACGTTGAAACAGGACGGCACTGATATTGGCGGCCATGATGAATCCACTCCACATATGCTGGTACATTCTGTCCTTCTCTTGAGATTTTGTGATGGAACCAGGCGTCATAAAGCCACAGACCAGTCCAGGACTTGGAGCATGTGATAGAGTTGATACTGAAGTGAAGTGAAAGATGCAGCCGACGTCAGGCGCAACATCCCAAGATCCCTGTCGAACTCCGCTGCAGGGAAGCCGAACCCTGCTGCGGTTATGCATATAAGGAGGACAGATCGGATCCACTCTCCCCCTTCCAGTGTGTTAGTTATCCTAAGTGAAGCTAAATTTCTCTAAGTCCTTCGAGCTGGATTTTTGAGACAACGCGATATATAGATATAGCGATTTTAGTAAAGATATAGAGGCAACAGAATGCCCTCTTTCGAACTAGAATATCCACCCTATAATAAAGGGCGTAGGTAGATAAAGAAATAGCTTCAGAATTCAAGATGTCCCTACCAGAGTTTGTTAGGGATCAAATATACGCAGGCGTAACCGGATAAGTTCTGTCCTCCTTATATGCAAAACCCCTGCTGCTAGCCGATCGCGTGGCGCGCAACTGCCAACCAACAACCAACAACTCAATGGGACCTGGAAGCTCCCAGTTGGTGTAGGTGTCGGCAGATACTGCAAGCTGTCGCATGCTCAATCAACATTCACGATTCGTGTATGCATACACCTTCACTGTATAAATACCTTCATAATACCCTCGCCATACCCAAACAATCATGTCATCAACCTCCAAAACCCCCAAACAAAATCACAGATCCACCTCAGCATCCATAACGTTACCCTCCAACTCCCCCACCCACAATGCCTCAGCCCAACAGACCGAAATCATAATAAACGTCTACGACCTCCTACCCGTACGTTTCCCCAACCCCTCACCTCCAACAATCCACTAATAACCACCTCCTCAGCCCGGCCGCCTCTCCTCCCTCCTCTGGACCCTCGGCGGCAGCCTCCTCCACTCAGGAATCTGCATCTCCAACCGCGAATACGCCTACGGCGGGCACCCGCAACGGGGAGTCACGGGAGTATACTACACCCGCCCCAAATACCTGCCTCCAGGTGGAAGATTCCGCTGCTCGATCCTAGCGGGCCTCAGCCTCTGCACACCCGGCGAAATCTCCGCGAAAATCCAAACCGTATCCGAAAGTTTTCTCGGCACGGATTACCACCTGCTGACGAATAACTGTAATCATTTTACGAATGCTTTGTGCGAGGCGTTGACGGGGAAGAGTGCGCCGGGGTGGTTGAATCGTGCGGCGGCGATTGGGGTTGCGTTGCCGTGTGTGGTTCCGAAGGAGTGGATTTGTCCGCCGGATGTGGAGACGCAGGAGGGGGAGCTTGTTGGAGAAGAGGAAGAGGAAGATGATGATGATGTTCAGGATGAGAGGTCTGGGATGTTGAATGATCATAGGAGGAGACGGAGGAGGGAAGGGCGGAGGACAAGGGAAGAGGGGGAGGATGTTGGACTTCGTGCTGAAGATGAGGAGTTTGGGGCTAGTTTGGCTGGTGGGAGGAGGTTGAGGGATGAGAATCGAAGTCCACCTCCTAGAGTGGTGAATCGGACGGATTCTGCTGGGAGACCTTTGCCAGCAGCGGAAAGGGCGCCTGTTCCGAAGACGACGACGATGACGAGCAAGTGATTGATATGAGCATACGAGAAGACTGATATTGAGATACCCCCACAAGCGCAAATGTACAGCAACGAGACGATCACTTGTAAAGTATGGGAGAAGTAAAGGCGATCAAGCGTGGTGAGATTCACTGTCATTCATAGATATCGATAGTCTGGCACTATCCTGCAGCTGCTCTCCCTGCATTTGAGAAAGCTTCCTGCATCTTCATATACACAATAATACCACATCTCCCAGGGTATCTCTTCAAATGCGCGTACATCTGTCTACGCGTTGCCATGCGGCGAAAGTCAAAAAAGTAACTTCATCTTCTCTTCGTCTCATACCCCAAGCTGCCGTGACGCCACTCCGAAATGCGATATCATTACCACAGCTGACGAAGAAATCAATATTGTCACTTGCTGTGCGCTCCTAATGTGTAATGCGATTCGTCCGAGATTTCTCGCGGGGCCGCAACTCCTAGTTGCAGATTCCTTGGATGCTCATTCGACTTCGATTGGGGTCATTCGCTTGCTTCACTGGTGCATCGACATTCTGCGTCTGCACAGGCGACGCGTTGTTCCTTGAATCCTGTGGCGACAATGGAACCATGGGCTCCGAAGACGCATTCGTGACATCGCGTAGCTTGCTGGGGCTCTTTGCTGCACTCTCCATGTCCTTTTGGCCGGCCTTCAATGCTGTCGCACCAGGTTTACTGGACGCGAAAGAGTTCTTGAGCGAAACCTTTGGACCAGGCTTCGCATTCGCTTTGGCGTTCTTTCTCGGTCTGCCCACATTTGTGGCCTTCTTAGGCGCCTTGCCCCCGGTAGCGGGCTTCTTCGTGGTAGCAGAGACCTTCTTAGAGGCACCTCTGACTGTTGTCTGCTTCTTTGTGCCTGCCTTGAGCTTGTCATTCAGGTTTGTTACCGAATGCTTCGCGCTTGTCTTTGCGGCAAGCTTCTCCGCTGGCGAGCTACGCTGCGATTTTGATGGAGTCAGAAGCCCGGTGACGGCCAGTGAGACTGTATCGTCATTCATTACAGCAATGCTATCGCCGGAGATCTCATCATCCTCGATGCTTGGCACGATCGAGGTTCTAGGTGTACCCATCGGACTCCAATCCAGCGGGCCAAAGTCCATAGGCTTGCGTGGCGTCTCTTCGGGAAGCGGTGGCCTGAAGCTGTTGTTCTTGTGCAGTTGTGAAGGCAAAGGCTCCTTGGCTGCATGCTTCATGTGACATTTCGGCAGCTGAACGCGCATGGTTTTGGCAGCGACCTTTTTGGCGTCCTCTTCGCTGACCTCGGCAAACTCTTCTGGGGCTGCGGGAACATCCCACTTGCGCATCGCCGCGTGTCGGGCAACCTCATCACATGGGCCTCGCACAATAATATCCCAGCAGTCCTCGAGATCCTTGGCAATAGGCGGAGGGTCACTGTTGATCCAAATTGCGACGCCGCCTCTCCGGTCGCGTACGGTAGCACACATTTCGCGAACAATTCTTCTTACTCCTGGCACCTTCAGGGTAGTCCCAACAACAATTACAGCATCAGGCCTTTTGCGCAAGTCGTCCTTCGTCACTGCGCCAATAGCCTCGTCATCTGGGTTGTGTTCGTTGTACAAGACCATTCGCGGTCGCAATCTGCCAATACCATGACTTCGTTTGCCCTCATGGTTCGTGCGGATATCATTAATTTCCTCACACCTCGAACATAACGGTGGTACAGGTCCGTCAAAGAGACTGGGGTCCAGATCGGAGAGCTCGTGGCATTTCGAGCATACCATGTAATCCAGTCCACCGTGCAGCTGAACAGTGCGCGGCCATTTATTCTCGTCATTCTTCTTTAGTGGTACAGATGTCTTCAATGGGTCCATGGAGGTGTCAATGCCATCCACATTTTGTGAGTACAGTCGAAGCAAACGATCCTCCTGGGCAATGGTTGCTAACATATGGTGAAAGGCAGTTGGCTTGGCATCCTTGGTAAGACGTGACATTGTGCTGACCATGTCGTGGAAAGACGATGTCGACACGTCATCTTTGTATACAGACGCGTCGAAGAGATGCTTGCCAGAGCCTTTGAGGTTGTATTCTTCCTTTAGACTTCGAAATAGACCTTGCGACGAGCGAAAATCAGGGACTACGTGTTGTGTTAGCAATCGGACGCGTTATTGATGGGACGGGCAATGGCAGCACTTACTGCCTGCGGAAACAGACATGCCAGCGCCGGCAATTACGACAATCTTCTGGCGCTTGTGTAGGACATTGAGCAGGCGGTCTAGTTGTGCTTGTTGTTCGACATCAACAGTACGGGCGCGTAGATCCAGATATTCTGTAGTCCGCTCCTTCTCCAACGTGATTCTCCGGCGCTTAGCAGGACGATCCTCGCGGTCTGATGAGGTCTTGGAGTCCATGCCATCTGGAACCGGCGAGCCGCTCTGTGATGTTTGTTGTGACGCGGGTGGTGAAGGATATGGGCCGGGGCTGCGACGCGACGAGAAGCGCATCTCGGGCGGCGGACTGGGCGAGTTGGAAAATTCGGTCAACGGCGAAGAAGGCACGCTGCTCAGAGGCGACGAGAAGCCGCTGCTGTCAGAAGGGGCGTCCATGGTGTCGTCGAGGCGAGGCGAGGCGAGGCGAACACGGGAGGGTGCAGGGCAGAGGAGGGAGCAGGCGCGAGGCGCGAGGCGGACCGGGCTTTGTACAGAATTACACCGACAATAGCATCGTCTCCAGTATCGTACAATAGGTAGCGACGGGCGGGGGTTGGCGCGCAGTGAAGAGCGTTGGGTGTGAATATTAAATAGCGCGTGTGAAGCGTGAATAGAGGAGGTTGGAGTTGGAGGTGTTCGAAATGCGCTCGGCTTTACCCGGTTACGGGCAGGAGTAAACAAACAGCTGTTTGGACTCGAACACCGTCCGATGCATCATCATTGATTCATCTCCCGATTTCCTTATCGCTGCCGTCCACGAGCATCCATCACCACAGTTCCCATACCGATAGCGGACTATCAGACACAGCATTCTTGACTTTGCGGTCATAGTGGCACGGCAGAGAGCCCTCGGCGGGCCAAGATTGCTTGAAGCTTCACGAGGCGAGTCGCGACTCAGGCGGGCCATGCTGGCAACTTGTTGGTGAATCGTGCACAACGAGACCATTTCCAACACGCATACGTTTTCGCATCAGTCTTCCAATGCTGTGATGCGGCACGCAAGAAGCGTTGCGTGGCAGACTCCGTTGTGGTCCACACGGATATTGAAGGTTTTTAAGCAGACGTGGCCATATGGACGCAGCCAGCCTGGAGACTGCCACCATGGCAGACCTGCCCGATGCTGCAATGATGGACGGCACAATGGACGATCTGTTTGGCGAGGCGCCGGTCGGCCTCGATGGTAGCATTGCCATGCCTGCCGCGCCTCTCCCAGCATCCTTGGTCTTGCGGATCGCAGAAATGCAGAGCCGCGGGTGTTGCACGTGAGTTTGTAAGGCACCGAACGTCAGTCTTGATGCATGCCTGGTAACAGTGAACTAGGAAGATCGCATGGTCCAATACTGGAAGTATCGCGCAAATATCGCCCGATGGCACTCAAATCACCTTTCGGACCATGATAAGACACAAAGAGACTGCCGCCTGGACCATCAGTGATGCCTCCAATTATCCTTTCAAGGCGCCTGAGGGTCGAAAGTTCGTGCACATCCAGTTCAGTGGCATCGGCCTGGATCTCGTCGTAGTGGATGATGCCGGTCATGTGCACCTGCCCTCGGTGTTTGGCGCCATTGGCAGAATGAGCACGACGCAGGGCGAGTTGGCCAGAGACGATTCCAAGCACGAGCTCAATGCAATCGTCGGTCTTCATTGGCTAGCATTGTTCCCTGCAGAGTTCCGAGTCAGGTCCCCCTGAGACGAGCACACTCGCTCCATGGCTAATGTTGTGTAGGGTCCTTACATCGATGCAGCGCACAAGAATGGTGATCGATGGGATGCGACAATCAAGTTGCGCGACCAACAAGGCCTTCGAGCTCATCATCCTGCAGAAGGAAGGCACGCCTTTCTTCACATCAGTCGCTCTACTGAGCTCACTCTGTGCTATCAGAATGAGGGCCAAGGCTGGCAGTCAACCAGTGTAATGCTGGACACACTTCGAACCTCTGACGGACTCGTCACACACGCTGCTCTTGGCGAAGATAATTCCGATCTTCTTGCAGTCACCTACGATAGTGCATCCCGGCTGCGGCTGTACAGAGTATCGATCGTGTGGAATGCTTCGCAGCAGAGTCGTGGACCTGGCGTCAATATTCTAAGGGTCGAACCAACACTTGACGTCCATCACTTGACTGCAGTCAACAACGTCCGACCACAGCAGATCGACGCGGCTAAGCTGACCCATCTGCGAATCATACCTCAAGTAGCGGAAACTGCACAGCAAGTCCCGACACTTCCAAACATCCTTGCCATCTTCACCCATGCTGCGTTCCCAGCGCATGCATCACCAGACCAAAGCTCTACAAGCGTCATCGCTAGATGGAGCGTAGAAACATTTGCACCCACCTTACACGAGAGCTTCACCAAACTGAAGCCTGGAAGCAACACCAACCAGGTCCTCAACCAGATTACCGTGCTCAAGAGGCAACCTGATATTCCCACCAATGGCAAGGTCATTCTCACATTTGAATCGCAGATGTTTGATACAATTTTGGCCTTCGCGAATAGCGATGGCAGCCTGGACCTTCGAGATCGTGTTACCATGGAACCTCTGGGCCCATTTGGGAGCACAGATACGGTGTCCAACCTGCACCAGAGTGGCTTCGACCATGTACCTGGCGAACACAACTTACACATTGCCATGTCTGGCGATGGCAGTGGCCTCGTATATGTTCGAGTTGACAAGAAGGTTGAGGCTCAGTGCATGAAGCTGACTCGCGGCTGGCACATTGTGGATGATGGCATTAGCGATGACCGTCCCTATATTGAGGCCGCTGCAGTCTGCATAGCGCGACAGTTCGCTTTCTTATGCTACAATAACATCGCAAACGATGAAACACTGGCACTTCTTCCACCAGATGCTTCACCAGAACTACGCTCGCTGGTCGTGAAGATGATATTCCGAATGCTGAATAGGAGTCCCGACATATCGATGCATGAAAATGGCCGTCAGCAAATGATTGTGCTCAAAGAACCGCTTGTGCCGCGCTGCTTGAGTGCGCAACTCGCGCTTGGAACCAATCCGATGACTGGCGAACGAAACTTCGCGGCGCAATACGCTCTCACCATCTTGAACTTACGCCTTGCTGGAACAGCTCTTGCCTCCACTTGTGGACGTGCTGATGTCAAACAAATCTCGCCGGAGGCTGTCCACTTTGTCAGAGGCATAGTCCGATGGTGTATGGACTTGATAGTGTACATCGTCAACACCATCGTCACAATCAAGCGAGATGTCCAGGCTGGGTCATCTGCGAAAGAAGTCATCGATAAACTTGCCTCCACCAGCGGCAATCCTGCCCTGCATGTCTTACTGTGCAGTTTTTCGCGTGCGCTGGTCCGCTTCCAGACCATATGGGTTGTCAAATACCTCCAGTGTCTCCAACACGTTGTCCCTCGAACCCGTTCCGTCATAGAGAGGCAAGAAATGGAGGCCATCTTCTCTTTAGCCGGTCAGCTACCATTCAAACTACAGCAATTCGAAGGCATGGTCGCAGAACTCGACCAAGCAGTGAGACAAGCATTATTCACCAAATCCAACGTATCCTTGGATCGGAGAGGCGAATTGGAAATCAACATGATGGTCGATGGTACAATCCCTCCAGAACTCGAGCCTGCCGTCAACAGCTTGCTCGAAAACACGATCCCGAAGCTTACAGAGAACATGGATCTGGGCAAGTTGCATTTCTATGACACCAGCTTTTTGCAATTGGCGAATAGCAAGAGACCAAAGAATGGCAGAATCCTCGATGTGCTGAGAAAGGTGCAAGTGCCACCAGACGCCGCACTCAGAGTATGCCGAAGGTGCGGTGCAGAGATGGAGGATATCGCTCCGGAAAAGCTGAGACAGGAGCCTTTTGCCGGATGGTTTCAGCATGCGCAGAGGCACTGTGTGTGTATGAACTACTGGCTTGTGGTTTAATTGTATGCTGCCCTCGCAGAATCTTGCAGCGCCTGGCACTAGCTTCAAAACGACTCCAGTGTCGAGCTGCACTGTGCAATACCCTCTCTCTCTCTCTAGCATCCTTGCACCATCGCGTGTGATATGTCCATGCCCGACACGTCGAAGTGAACTATTCTGAGTTCTCGGTCGCATTTCGAAGCGAATGGATAAATTAGAGGATGAATGGTATATAATTTCGAAATGAATCTAGATAAATACCATCATGATTTGAAGCATGTCCTCCGGTAAGGGTGAGACTTGGGAAGGAGAGTTTTGCAGGCAGAGGTTGAGTGAGAGTTGAAGAGAAGCGCGCCTACATTGTGTTGTTGCCATCGTGCATGATGGTGGGAGACATCGGAGTGGTGAGTCAATGTCAGGAGCTGAGGTGAGCTTCATGGTATGCAGACGTATCGGGCAGACATTGGGACGTAATCGGTCACAGAGGACTATTGTGGCATACGAGAAGGCGTGTTCAGTATGAGTGGGAGTACATGTAGGTCAGGACTTGATTAGACATTTATGTAAAGTACACAGGATTCGTCGTTGTCGCTCTTGTGAGCCAAAAGGTAGGGCCCGTGAGCCATCCATCTCCTCCATGTGGCTTCGTCATTTCTTCACCAGGCGCAGTCTGGCAAATTCACAGTTTTTCGGCGCATGCTTATTGTCCTTGCCCATACCGCAGAACAGCATTTGCTCCGTGTGGTGATTGATTTTCTTTTTGCAGACTAGGGTTCCGTCAGCGAACGCCATCAACACAGTGTAGGTACATCAGATTCGACTTACGAAGGTGATTGTTCTTTCCACTGGAATGGTTCAAAATGTTGCCATCCGCGTCTTCATACCATCCTGTCTGAAAATCAGATCCCGGGATGGCACGAACGGGATGCTTTCTGCCCGGAACAGCAAGCTACAGAGAAGATCAGCATCCTCGCTTGAACAAGAATCACTCGGGCTGTAGTTACCTCCTCAAACGCAGTGATAGGGACGGACGTCGAGCCATGGTCCAAAGCAAGACTCGGCCCTGCAGTAGTGGGCTGCCAAAGGACTTGCGCAGAATGGTCGGCATATCTGTGGCGGGTCACGAAGAACACCTCTGGGTTCTCTGGGTTGCTTCCATTTTTTATTGTGTAGAGAGGAGTCCCATTGCCAGTTTCGTTGCCCTTCACAGCGAAAAGAGTATAGTACTGAGGAGACTGGCTTGTTCCGAGTTCTGCCGGTGAGGGAAGTGCTGCGGCGGCGGCGATCAGTGCGAGTACAGTGGCTAGATACATCTCCGCTGGATTGATGTGTTGTGAATCTGTTGGTTGTCGATATAGTGGCTCTGAAATTGCTATTGGCTGGGAATGTGGTGAAGGATGTTTTGGCAGTGCAGTGTGTGTTGTTGTGGAGAGAGGGAGAGGAGACGGAGAACAGTCGAATGTTTACCTCGACTCCAGCCGGCAGGTCTTGCCGTAGTAGCGGTTGCTGCGCTAGTCGTTGCGACTGCCAGTATTTTCACGGAAGCGACGCAGCTGGCGCCAGGTGTCAGGCAGAGCAGAGCAGTGGTCTCCCGTAGTACTAGTCTCGCGGTTGCCAGAAGGGGGCTATCATCTGATGATCCTCCAATGCGATCATAACCGTCTTGTCGAAATCGCAGCCATTTAGCGATAGGGCGGAGTGAGCCTCAACGCTGGTGTTGCATTTATGTTGTCGCTGTACTAGGCGACCCATATCCTGGTGTATCTGACTTCAGCGTTCCATTGATTTGACGCGTTCTTGGCACCAGTGCAGGATGGTCACAGGCTTCTGATCGTGTTGTATGAATCGATCGCGAGCATTGTGTCGGCTCCTGAATACCTTTACCAGATTGTGCAAAGACTTCCACTAGATTTTACACGCTTGATCTGGTATGTTCAGCGACACATTTCAAATGATTTTGTGTCTGGGAGGATAGGTGCGCGCAGCCCCGTGAGTTGAGACACGTCCCTGTGAGCAGGTCTGATCGTAAGGCTATACTGTGCCGCTGCCATCAATATCTATACAATGATCAAGGTGTCTCGCCGCTCTTGAGCGTTAGTCTGAACAATTTCACATTATGCTTCTCACCGTGAGTTCCGCCATAGAGCCATGGCGGAGTCCAATATGCTGTTTGGTCTTCTGCTCTCGCTGGCCTCCAGGGTACTCCTTATACTACCAAAGCCACCTCCCTCCTGCCCAGAATTCTTTCTCTGCTTCTCTTCCAGAAGCCTTCTTTCGTCTTGGTTGAAACCTTGCTTCTCCGCTGTCCGTGCTTGCATAAGCTTGTTGCGCAGCTTCCTCAATTCCTGCTCTTCCTCATCACGAATCTCCAATTCTCTCAGCCACGCTGCATGGCGCTCCTTCTTTTGTTTCTCCTCCACGAGTCCATCATACTGCTTCCGCTTCTCACGGTCGCCTTTCCAGTATGCTGATCCAGCAAGCATGGCTACGATTGTGAACCCCTGAGCGTAAATACGTCGACGGAACATTCTATTCGTCTTGTGTTTGTCGCCAGCTCTTATCGATCGTGTCCTACATCTCGTCAGCATCGATCAGACTCTACTTCTCCCGGATATGCCTACGCTTCATATAGTGCCCAGCAAGTCAAGGCGCAACCAAGTGGAATCAAAGGCTCCTCCACCAACCTTCTCTTCATCTTCGCCCATCTTGACTCTTCATAGAAGTCCTTGTTCTCATCGAATGACGAAGGCGGAGGTGCGGTATTGATATTTCCGGGGACGGACATATTCGGCGATGTGGTTCCCAAGAGCTGTTCCGATATTGGTGGTGTGGACCTTCACTCCTACCTTGGTGGGTGTAGGAGTGTTGATATGCTTGTTCTTGACTTTAACAAGTATTGTGTTGACAGCCGCACGACTTTGGATGCAATACGCGAAATGAGTTGAGCGCGAGGTACCTATGTTGAACAGCCAATCTGCTCAGTCGTTTGATGGTATGCGCAAAAGTGGTGATGTCGTTCCGCAGCCAGAGCACATTCACTTCCGGCCAGAAAAGCGGGCCCTTGCTAGCGGAAACCTTATTCATCGGCTCGTACCGCCTCAGCCGATATGCAGGTTGGCTTTACACTTTACACCAAGATTCGATTTTGTGAACACCACCTACCGCCTCGACTCCATATCCCCGAATGACTGGGGCATTGACCGCACATATTCGGCATTGAGCTGCCACCGTATTCCGGCCTCTATATAAGAAACCTCGATCTCCACGGACTGCTTCTCCATGACATACACGTAGCCATGAGCGAGGAAAATGGAGTGCCCAATGGCACTCATACCACGGAGAGCGAGAATGGCGTCCAAACACCAGAAGTGAAGGCACCAACCACGCCAAAACCATCACATACACAGTTGGCGTTGACGGAGTATTCTATTAATCCTTCGCCACCTTCAGCAACACCAAAAGTAAAACCGACATCATTGTTGCCGGAACACTTGCTGCTACCCAATGGCCATCCAGATGTGAGTCTTATTTGCCAGTTGAGGGCCGATCGATCCGTCTCGCAACGCGAACCAGGGCACCGACCTCTCAGACCACACCACGGTAACCCCTAAAAGTTGAAGTGACCTTGGCCTTGCTAATGCATTCACAGTACTTACGTTTGATCTCAATGGCGAAAGTATACGACGTTGTTGAGCAGACTCCCCTCACACATGCTGTAAATCTCAGCAACCGACTAGAGACTACAGTAATGCTCAAGCGAGAAGACTTGCTTCCAGTATTCTCGTTCAAATTGCGAGGAGCCTACAACAAGATGGCCCATTTGACACAAGAAGAACGATGGAAGGGCGTCATTGCTTGTTCAGCTGGCAACCACGCTCAAGGTGTAGCGTTCTCTGCACGTAAACTACGCATTCCAGCAACCATCACCATGCCACTTGGCACTCCAGCCATTAAACATCAGAACGTCTCTAGGCTTGGCGGTAATGTCGTCCTTCATGGAGCGGACTTCGATGAAGCGAAAGCGGAATGCAATCGGAGAGCGGCATCCAATGGACTTACGAATATTCCTCCATTCGACGATCCGTATGTCATTGCAGGGCAAGGAACCATTGGCATGGAAATCCTTCGTCAGGCGGATACCGACAAGCTGGAGGCCATATTCTGCTGCGTTGGTGGAGGTGGCCTCATTGCTGGCATCGGTACATGGGTGAAGCGAGTTGCTCCTCACGTGAAGATCATTGGCGTGGAGACATTTGATGCGAACGCATTAGTACAGTCTCTAAAGCTCGGAAAGAGAGTGACGCTTCCAAGTGTCGGACTTTTCGCGGATGGGGCAGCCGTCAAGACTGTCGGTGAAGAGACCTTCCGTCTTTGTCAAGAAGTCGTCGATGAGGTTGTTCAGGTCGACACAGATGCTATTTGTGCAGCCATTAAGGATGTGTATGAAGACACGAGATCTATTCTGGAACCAGCAGGAGCGCTTGCCTTGGCCGGACTGAAGAAATATGTTCGGTCAAATCCATCGCAGGACACTCGTCGCCAACTCGTCGCTGTGGCTTCAGGAGCGAATATGAATTTCGATCGACTCCGCTTCGTAGCCGAACGCGCTGCAATTGGTGAGAAGAAGGAGGCATTATTAGCAGTCACGATTCCGGAGCGACCAGGCGCTTTCGCTAAGCTCATAGAAACAGTCAATCCGCTGGTCGTCACCGAATTCTGCTACCGATACGCCACAGAAGCAGCAGCAAACGTCCTCATCGGAATCCAGGTCGCAGCCGCCGCTCGAGTCCGTGATGTACAAGACCTGATGCACAGATTAGAAAACGAAGGCATGGCCAGCCGCGACGTAACAGGAGACGAAATCGCGAAAACACACATTCGATATCTGATCGGAGGCCGAAGTAATGCGGCCAACGAACGACTTTTCGCCTTCGAGTTTCCGGAACGAGGTGGAGCGCTCTACAAATTCTTGACGACGCTGCAACCAGGGTTCAATATCTCACTTTTCCATTATCGAAATTATGGAGGTGACATTGCCAAGATTCTGGCTGCGATCCAGACACCTCCGGAACAGGAAGCGGAATTACAGAAATTTCTCAAGGATCTTGGATATGGATACACGGAAGAGACGGATAATGAGACGTATCAGATGTTCATGAGAGGTTAGCTACAGCTCTGCATGTGGTATCAGAGCTATGGAGTTGGAGGCTTTTTGCGTGGTCTGTTATGGCTAGCTCTGCAGTGAGGGTCAGGAGCTTAGCTCGTAGACAATGGCCGAGAGATAGCGCGTTCAAATGGAGTTGACCCTCGAATAGAGCACGATCTGAGCCTCCGGCCTTGGGAACACAATCTCACGCGCCCGATGTGAGCTTCGAAATTCACAGAAAAACAGGTCCGGTCACTCTCGCTCCCAGACTCCACCAACGGCCATCAAATCCAGCCTTCGCACCCCATCCACTGTCAAGAGTTATATACGTCGAAAACTTCGTGGCGTGGCCTTTGCCTTTACAAACCGAAGAGTGCTCTCGTTCTTCTTTCTTCCCAAACAGACTGTGGAAAGAGTCCGCTGAGCAAACACCTCTTGTGACCTTACTCGTTCTGGTTACGTTGACAACGCACGATATAGTCAGCGCGGCATAACCCACTCGAGGCTTTGAACAGTGTTAAGTCGACATCTTCGCTCGCCAAGGGTGGAAATTCTTGCTTGCCTCGTTCGCCTTATGTGCTATGTCCATCGCCGGTGATCAGAAGCGCTGCGGTCCAAAGACTTCTCGGACATGAGGTGGAAAGACATATCCCCGACCGAGAAGTGTTTCTTGCAGTGTCAAAGGTTGCAAAAATAGGCGCTATTTGCAAAAAAAAGCTCCAAATATAAAGCTCCTGATTGTGGTAGGCATGCGCTTGCAGGTCCTGACTAGCAGCCAGCGCTGCATAATTAGTATATTGGATCTCCAGAATCCCAAACTTGCTTACCCATCACTAGCATCTCAGCAGCCTCATCGGATTTCCCCTCCCACGCCCCCAAAATCAAGCATCCCAGCGTCAAATCCTCAACCTCAGGAAACTCTCTCAGAGCAAAGCGCTGCGTGATAGTCTCGTCATCTACACCAACAAACGGTGTACTCCCAGATTCAATCTCAAAAAAGCGCCGATCCCAAAGCGAAATAAATCCGAGCGAACTGAAGTCATCTTCAAAAGTGTCTCGAGGCATGAAATGGCTTGGATTTTTCGTTTCCCAGAGCTTTCTCGCCACGAAGACCCAAGGTCAGACATTCGTCGTAGCCGGATGAATTGAAATCGCTGAGGCGCGCGTTCATTCCGGAATCCAGGAACCATTGGCTGAGTCTGAGATCCGAGTGTCGAATACCTTTGCTGTGGACGAATTGGACAGCTTCGATCATTTGCTTTGCCCCATTTGTGGAGTTGCGGAAGCGTTGGGGTTCTATGGGGTTGTAATGTAGTCTTTCAGGTTGCCGTGGCCGTAGAACTCCAGTATCATCACGTCGTTTGTAGGACTAATGTAGAGGCAGTTTGCCATGCGGTCATGGGTCCTCCCGAGAATTTTGTAGACGTTTGCTTCGATTTTCGTGGCTTTTGCATTGGCTTGTGTGATTTCTGCTTCTTCTGAGTCAATCCGTGGAACTTTGATTACCACTTGGCCGAGACGATATGTGCAAGAGCAGGACCCGATCATTAATAGCTGACATTTCGAGGCGTTCTCAAGGACACCTGGAATATTCGTCCGCCAATGAAAGCAACGACAGACCTGCCGTCGTACAGCGGGGTCTCCGTCCTGGCAGTCTTACGCGAGACGCTGGTACTAAACGAGCAAATCTGGTTTGTAAGTACTGTAGCTCGTTGTGGCTTCTTCCAGGGCGAGGGCGAGGACTTGGAATGCCAAGTATTCACAGCGCAGGTACAGACATACCACATGCCCTCATTGACTGGTGCATCGTCCGCGACGGATGCTTGAATTACGACATCGAAGTGTGAAAAAGAAAGTTTCTTGCGTGTTTTGAGGGTGGGTCATGGGATGTGACAGGCGAGCAAGTCCATGCGGGCCATGTTCTGCTTTCAATGTCGTGAAAACTTTTCCTTTCATTCGTTTTGGTAAATTTTCATCCTTTTTATGACCAGCGCTATGCTACCGTATGCTATGCTATGTGATGCACACACATTCATTGTCATTTACAGCATGACAACACCAACGCCGCCCATCTTGGTGGGATCGACGTTTTTGTTTGCATCGATTCCACCAGGCAGGACGGGAGTTCGCCAATTGAAGAGGTAGTAATGCAGCTTTCCATCTCCTGGCTCGAATTTCTGGTCTTTGAGGAAGAGCGGATTGTCGAGTAGAGTGAGGGCGTTGAAGACATGGAAGTCGTCTTTCTTCGCGAGAATGAGGGCATCGTGAATGAGGAGGTCGAGGCGAGCTTTGAGCGTTTCTTGAAGTGCTTGAGCTTTGACTTTAGCCTTACTGGGCACCTGGAAGGCAGACTCGGTGGCGTAGTAGTAGAGGTAGGCGGCGCGGATCGTTTCACGCTTCGACGAGCGGAGGACTGTGGACTGCAGACATGTCAGTATGAGCATTGAAGTTCAATGTGGTGGAGCGCACCTCGAGAAGGTAGTAAGAGACGAAATCAGTGATCTTGCCGTTCTCTTCTACCACGTAACTCCACACCACGTCCTTGGTCGTGTCAGAGCAGATGTAGTGGGAAATTTCCTCTTCGGTGAATTCTTGTCGCAGGTCGAAGCGTTCGGTGTACCGAGTCAGCAGATCTTTCACGGCTGGAATGTCTGCCGGCTTCATCGGCCGCAGACCCTTAAGCTGCGTGTGCGACTCCAGCTTGTACCTGTACTTTTGTCGTAATGCCGATGATCCTGCTGGCATGTGACTGAAGCCGGTGTGGAAGAGATGCTCCCAATCGAGCGAGCGGTGAAAGTATCGGCATGTGCTGACTGGTGTGGGAAGAAGTGTACCGGCAGTGTAGAGTGCTTGAAAGATGTCGTTAATGTAGCATCTTCGCGTAATCTCCTTGATCAGAACAGGGGCAAGTCGCTTGTTGCGTAGCTTGCGGTGGATAGCGAGGAAATTGATCTCGCTTGCGTTGACCTTCTCTCCTCGCACGCGCAGAGTGACTGGAATGCCAGCAATAGATGCAACGAGCTTACCCTTCTTGCCATCCTTAGTGGCAGTGCGGACGCCTACGTGCCATTCTTTCTTCCAGCCGGGTGGTTTCAGTGCCCAGGCCAGGAACTGTGTGGAGTAGTTGAAGCGGAAGGAGCCATCCGTGTCCTCGACATAGTGGTTGTACAGCAGGTCGTAGAACTCCTGCAGCTCCTCCTTGTCATCCAAGTCGATTAGACACCACTCGAAGCCGTCGACGAGCTTCTCTGGCTCTTGTTTTGCGCTGGCTTTGCAGACCTCGTTGGGTAGGATGGGACCTTCGGGTAGAGCTTCACCCGAGCTGCCGTTTGTGGTTTGCAGGAGATTGGGCTCCTTGAACTTGGGCACTGGCTGTGTGTTCCAGAACTTGTAGTCTTCGGGCGCTTTTCCTTCTTTCTTGGGTTGCTCCAGCTGTAATTGCTTGAGCAGGGAGGGTATATCATGGACTGCGACGGGCTTGTTCTGCGGAATCAGCTTGGAGGGTGCGACTTCTTCGCTGACAGACTTCTTCTTCTTCTTCTTTCTCGGCTTGCGCTTCTTCTTCCCTGTTGTACTAGCGCCTGCTGTTCCTACTTCCTCGGCCTCGTCTCCTTCTTCCTCATCCCCTTCCTCCTCGTCGTCGTTAGCGAGATCATCGGCGGCTTTTGAGGTAGCGGCGGGATTTTCTAGCGACTTGTCGGCTAGATCGCTTGCCAGTGTGGCATCGGCAGGTTTCTCCTTCCCCTGTTCCGCCATGTTTGCGGGCGTCGTGTCTGTATGAAGTAGTCAAGGCTGTGTAGGTATCAAGCTGCTCTCGTGTGCCAGCAAGGTGGGGCTGCGATTCAGGCATGAAGTTTTGATGCCTGCTTGATGTCAGGTCCTTCACTTGGCCAACATCAATATCAATGTGCTCGGTATCACAATCACGCACGCACGCACGCACATTCAACGCAATAACTTTACATGCAGCGAAATCGAGTCAGAGCATTAAACGAGTCATGCCACAATGAGCTTTTCGTAGGATCATACGTACACGTTCTCCTCGCTGAGCTTTGACGACTTTACCCACAACATCGACTGGATTGTCTAGTCACATGTGAAATCAGACATGAAGGCAACCTCAGGCATACAATGGTACATCATTCGTTCTCACCTTTGCTTTGCTTTGCTCTTGCACCAAAAAACTGTCGTCACTCTGACAACTACGACTGCGGTAGATGTAGCGGTGAGGCGCCGTCTGCTTCTTCCAAGAGTGAATATCGCTCCTCAGTGCTTACCGCTTCAAGTCATATGTACCTCCCGCGAGTAAGACGAGAGGTCAATGCTTCTGAATTGATATCGCCGGCGGGGGCGGGGCCCCAGATGGGAGATGGATGATGGCAGACATGGCGGTACGGATGCGATAGATCAACACCAATACCATACCATTCCAAGAAGTCTAATCCATTTTCACTCTCTCTGGTTGTTAGTTGTCACTACGGCCCGGCCTCAAGTCCGCGATCGTCGCCGAGAAAAACAGCTTATCGATAGGACAGGCCGCGGAGGAAGCGTTGAGTCCTGCACTCTGCAGCGCGCCTGCCACCCACGCAAGTCGCTGCAAACTCTCGGTCAGGCACGAAGCGCCATCGCGTGTCGGTGTCGTGTGCTTGCCAATGTTAGAGCATGCATCTGTAAACATTGCTTTCGTTCTTTGCCAGTCTCCAGCCAGCATCCCTCTCTTTACACCACACCACAGCATCCGCTATCCAGCACAGCTCCTCTTGTACCGCTATTCTCCCCACTGCATTTTTTGTGATCGAGCTGTCAATCCCGCATCATCGCCAGCCCAGCCCAGGCCAGCTCACTCACCGTCACTCCCTGGGAGCGGACAAACAGCACCTCGACGCCAGAAAGCAGCACTGCCAAACACCCGACATTTCAAGCAAGCTACAAGCGTGGAACCCCAGCTCTGCATTGACCACGAGCCCCAACCATAAGCTGCCCGGCAGCCTCAGACCGTCGCCATGGTTCTCATCGACGATAAAGAAGTGCTCAGCGTCGAGGAACAGCGTCTGAAGGAGGACCGTGAGCGCACCAAGTACTGGAAGAAATATGGTCCATATACCGCTGAGCGACAGTGGTCCACCGTCCGCGAGGACTACTCGTGAGTCGAAGCGCCATTTCTTCCTTCCAATACCGTCCTTCTGCTGACTATCCTCGTAGCTCCGATGGCAATGCATGGAGCTCCTTCACCTATGACATGGCTCGCGCCAGGACCTTTCGCTGGGGCGAGGACGGCATTGCTGGCGTATCAGACACTCACGGCCGCATGCACATTGCCTTTGCTTTCTGGAACGAGAAGGAGTAAGTGTCCTCATGCCTCTGCCATGTCCTCACAAGCAGCCTGATACTAATATCCACCAGTGGTCACATCAAGGAACGTTTGTTCGGTCTTTCGAATCCTCAGGGCGTGCACGGCGAGAGCATCAAGGAATGCCATTTCCATCTCGACAACACCCCCACCCACTCCTACATGAAATACCTCTACAAATACCCGCAGCGCGCCTTCCCCTACGAAGACATCATCAAGGAGAATGCTCGACGCAATCGGCGTGACCGCGAATACAACCTGATTGATACGGGAATTTTCAAAGACAACAAGTACTGGGACATCTTCATTGAGACCGCGAAAGAGCATGACAACCCGGATGAGCTGCTTTTCCGAGTGACGGCATACAACCGCGGTCCAGAGCCCGCGAAGCTGCACATTCTGCCACATGTATGGTTCCGCAACACCTGGGCTTGGGGCTACGATGATTACAAGCCTACCATCAGGCAAACGGACTCCTTGTCGATCAGGCAAACGGACTCCTTGTCGGCCGAGATCGACGACAGAGAGCTCGGCAAACATTACTTTCAATGTTCACCATCTCCAAATTGCTGCGGTCGTAAGGAAGACATCGAACCCGAGTTCCTCTTCACCGACAATGACACCAACTACAAGGCGCTCTACGGCGCATCCAAGAACAAGACACCTTACGTGAAGGATGCCTTCCACAGGCGCTTGATCAATGGCGATGACAAGGCCGTCAATCCTCAGAAGACTGGAACCAAGAGCGCTGCCTGGTACGCTTTCAATCAAGGTGATGGTGTACCGCCTGGCGAGTGTGCAGTCATCCGTATGCGCATTTCCACCAAGCCCAGTGATAGCTACCTGGACGAGGAAAGGTTCGACGAGGTCATTGAGCAGCGTCTTGCCGAAGCCGACGACTTCTACTTCAAGATCAATCCCATGCCAATGGCCGACGATTTGCGCAACATTCAGCGACAAGCTTTCGCCGGTATGATGTGGTGTAAACAATACTACCACTTCATCTGGGACCAGTGGGCCAACGGTGATCCGGCCATGCCTCCTCCCCCACCAGAGCGAAAGGCAGTGCGCAATGCCCAGTGGAAGCACATGCATCTGGACGATATTCTCTCCATGCCTGACTCCTGGGAGTATCCATTCTTCGCCGCGTGGGACTCTGCTTTCCACTGCATTCCGCTCTCTATGATCGACCCGGAATTTGCGAAGAAGCAGCTTGACCTCTTCACTCGAGAATGGTACATGCACCCCAACGGCCAGCTACCTGCGTATGAATGGAACTTTGGCGACGTCAACCCTCCCGTGCACGCTTGGTCGCTGTTCCGATCATTCAAGATCGAGCGAAAGATGTATGGCCGAGAAGACTTGGACTTCCTTGAGCGTGTCTTCCAGAAGCTACTTCTGAACTTCACCTGGTGGTGCAACCGCAAGGACGTCAATGGCAAGAACATCTTCGAGGGGGGTTTCCTCGGTCTTGACAACATTGGTCTGTTCAACAGATCCGATCCACTGCCTACTGGAGGCACTCTCGAGCAAGCCGACGCCACTGGCTGGATGGCATTCTACTGCTTGTGCATGCTCAACATTGCACTCGAGCTTGCCAAGTACCGCAGAATATACGAGGACATGGCATCCAAGTTCTTCGAGCATTTCATCCTGATCTCCGACGCGATGCAATACCGCAAGGGCTCCGAAGCCAAGTCTCTCTGGAACGATGAAGACGGCTTCTACTACGATGCAATTTCGTGGGGAGGTCCATATACTCACCAAATGAGAATCCGCTCCCTGGTCGGTCTCATCCCCATGTACGCTACTCTGACACTTGAGCCTCAAGTGATCGACCGCTTCCCAGGCTTCAAAAGACGTCTCGAATGGGTCATCAAGCACAAGAATGAGATGGTCTCGCGAAATATCGCCAGCATGACCAAGCGTGGTAAGGATAACAGACTACTACTGTCGCTTGTCAACGAGGACCGTCTACGATCGATTCTGAAGTACATGCTTGACGAGAAGGAGTTCCTGAGTCCAACCGGCATCCGCTCATTGTCCAAGTACCACAAGGATCATCCCGTCTCGATGGATGTCAACGGTCAGAACTACTCTGTCAGCTACATCCCTGGTGACTCTGACAGTGGCCTCTTCGGTGGCAACAGCAACTGGCGTGGTCCGTGTTGGTTGGCTGTCAACTTTCTGCTTATTGAGTCGTTGTTGCGCTTCTACATGTTCTACGGCAATTCCTTCAAGGTCGAGTGCCCGACTGGCTCAGGCGACTACATGCATCTTGGTCATGTTGCCGAGGAGCTTCAACACCGATTGCAGCATTTGATGGCTGCCGATCCTTCTGGACGCCGAGCCATCCACGATGGAAACGACATGCTCGACTTTGACCCTCACTGGAAGGACTATCTCTGGTTCTTCGAGTACTTTGATGGCGACACTGGTCGCGGTCTTGGTGCTACACATCAAACTGGCTGGACTGGTCTCATGGCCAAGATCATCCAAGACACTGGGTAAGCTCACTTATTCCGCACTCGTCCTACATTGCTGACCTTGTTTAGTGTGAACTGCCGACTGCCACAGACTCCACGCACGCCTGGCAGTGCAGCTGCCCACTACTTTGACGACACCTTCACCCGCCAACGTCGCGCGTCGATGACCAAAAAAGCCACCGACCTCAAGCGCTCCCTGAACAGAACCCGTAGCATAGGCGCTAGGAGCGACTTCAGTGCTAACACCAACGGAGACACTGTCGGCGACGACACCACCGGCGAGAACGAAGCCGATGAGGTCTTCTCTAATGGAGACGGCAAGGTCTCGCGCTCATGGTCCATCTACAAGGAAGACGCTTCCCAAGGCCGTGGTCCACCAGCAGTCGAGGATCCCGATGATCCAATCAACAAGTACGTGCAGGACCAGCTTGCGCGCATCAAGAGCAATGAGAGTGCCGAACTGGCTGAGGAGCTGGCAAGTCAGACTGACGGCATCAATGAGAAGGACTTGTGAGGTTTTGCGGAATGATGAAATCCTTTGATTCTTGTACCTACCTACGTTGGGAGGAGGTTTGGTGACGACTTATGGACAGCATGCATGATGATGGACGTGATGCATTTTGATATACACCTAGATGCTAGATTGAGTTGAAGAACCTAGATGTGAGCATGAGATGATGAAGAGCTCGCGGAATTCATTCGCATTTCTCTCCTATTTCATTGCTGTTGTCATTCTCTGCCAAATCTGACTCAGAGAGAATGATGAAAGGTGTGATGATGGTATCGATACGTGTCGTGTCATGTCATGTCTATATTCTATGCATCATCTCCATCATCTACCTCACGGCCTCCCAATCAACTCCTCCACCTCAGTAACCGGCTTCCCACCCGCCCCCTTCCCTCTACCACCAAAACCCCACCTTATCTGATTCGGCATATTCACATTCACACCAAGCTCTTCCCCCCAAGCGAAAACCAACCCCGGATTCTTCTGAAACCCTCGTCCCACAATCACCAAATCCAAATTCTCGTTCTCATTTTCTAAGAGCGAGTTTGCGAGTTTCGCATTCTCGATAGCACCGACTGTGCCTACTGCCATTTTCTTCCCGACTGCTTTCTTTACTGCTGCAGCGAAAGGAGCTTGGTAAGCGGGTCGGACATGAGGATGTTGATTTGGATGGTTGCCGCCTGAAGAGACGTCGAGGAGATCGATTCCTTTTTCTGCGAGGAGGGGGGCGAGTTTTAGTGTATCTTCGATTTTCCAGGATTCTGGGATATTTTCTTCTTCTTCGAGCCAGTCGGTGGCGCTTATGCGGAGGAATAAGGGCATGGAGTCTGGGATTGTGGAGCGGGTTTCGGAGACGATTTCCAGCGTGAGGCGGATGCGGTTTTCCCAGGTTCCGCCGTAGGCGTCGGTGCGGTGGTTCGAGACTGGGCTGAGGAATTGGTGGAGGAGGTAGCCGTGGGCGTTGTGGATTTCTATGGCGTCGAAGCCGGCGGCGAGGGCGCGTTTTACGGAGGAGTTGAAGGCTTTTTTGAAGGCTGTGATGTCTTCGAGGGTCATTGCTTTTGGGTTTGCGTGTTTCTCGTTCCATGGGATTGCGCTGGGTGCGTAGACGTCGTTTGGCCAGCCGTTGACATCTTCGCCGGCGATGTCGCCGGAGCTGAGCCATGGTGCGACGGTGCTGGCTTTGCGACCGGCGTGAGCGAGCTGGATCATGATCTTCTGGTTCTGGCTGTGTGCGAAGTCGACAACCTCTTTGAGAGGTGCGATTTGGCTGTCTTGCCACAGTCCGCTATCTTCGGGTGTGATTCGACCTTGTGGAGTTACTGCTGTGGCTTCAATGCAAGTGAGACCTGGACCTCGCTGGACAATACCGCCGATATGCGTCTTGTGCCACTGTTCGAGCATTAGATTTATGAAGTTCAACTATGGCACATTGTGGCCAACCATAGTAAAGTGACCATTCTCAGCACTGTATTGGCAGAGAGGACTCAGCATAATCCGGTTTTGAAGGGTCTTAGAGATTGTCAGTGTGAGGGACAGTTGATCACTAGAAAGACTTGCACATACCAAGCCTCTCAACTTGAGAGGTCTGAAGAGTTTTGGGACATCTTTCTGGCCGTCCACAAGAAGCGCGGTACCTGCGGGAGGGTCTTGCAGTGGTGTGAAGTACGGAACGGCGGGCGATGCGAGGTTCTTGTGATGGTCTGGCGTGAAGGCTGGCTTCTCGCTGATGTTGTGGTGTGAGGTCGACATGCTAGCGAGGTAGAGCAGGCCGTAAAGTGTTGGTTGGGTGGGTTTGCTGGAACGCTCACGAAAATGGGGGAAGTCTTGATTTATACATGTACTTCAGATGGCAAGAGTGGTGTATTTGTCATGCCGACGTTGGTCAATGCCTTCCCTTCCAGCAGTGCTGTTTAATGTTCACGTGTCGTCATAGGCTGTGATCGTCAGGTCGCGGCTCCATCGCGGCAGATCTGCATGGAATGCATTAGTCAGCGGTTATATAATAAGCCCGCGGGGATACAACTCCGCACTATCAGCCATTGGCATGATCTGAACAGAGCAACACTCTGCTCCAATGAATAATCATACCGGCCCCGGATATAACATGGCATGCAGTGCAAGTTCCGGCAGCATCACAGCTCGAGTCAAAGTGTGTTGCGGATCGTGGTCTTTCTCAAAATGTCCAAGATCATAGTCGTCGAGAAGACTGCGTCGTATCTCAGTCCTGGGATTCGTCCAAGCGGAAGATCCTGGTATATTGCTACCTTTGTGGTATCCATGCTCTGCAGTTCAGTCAACGACTTACTACACATTCGTCTCGGAGCGGTGCAGTGCGAAGTCACTGCAGATAGAAAGGTCGCGACACAGGTATTGAAAGGCGTCAAAGCGCGATGTGCTGCCGGGTGAATGCACCGCTCGTTGATGTGCAATAGTCTTAGCTTTCAATCATGGCATTCGCGATAGTTGCGTCCGGATGGTGTGCGAGATTGATAGAGCCAGCGATATGCACGGTGTCGAAGATTCTAGCTTGCCACAAAGCACCAATCCTCGATCGATGTCCCAGTCGATCTTCATACGGGTACGCGTGTCTCCTTTCACTCGATCATCCTGGTTTCCAGCACTGCAAGGATGCGGGAGCGCTTTCCTCAGGACTTTGGCAGGCAGCATATAACAAGCATGATTGACGCTCGACAAAACTAGGAAGTGTTGTGGACCGCGGGCGCGTTCCAAGAGTGGCAGCGCAGAGGTCACCCACGTTCGAAAATTTTCGGCTTGGCGTTGCTTAAAAAAGCGAGCGTCCACCAGCTGAGCTATATCAGCTTCCCCGGATTTCTTGGCATAGATGGGCAGATATATACACGCAAAACCCGAGGACGTTCAGCCAATCAGATACACTACTAACGAGGGTAGTAGATGCGGGCGCCCCGAGGCCCAATCGTTAGACTACGCTTTATTGAGGGCCCCTCCGGGGGAGCAGGGGCTGGCCGGCTACTCACAGTGTTTACCATTCTGTATTCCCGAGTAGGACTGTAATCCCCCGACCGTGTAGCTGATTCTACGCTATAATATAGCACACGTTGAAGCTATACGGGTCGGGAATAGGTACTTCCGGAGGGTGTTTGGTTGGCTTTTTTTTTTTTTAAAAAAAAAAGACTAAGGTAGAGGAGATTAACTACGAACAATATTTTATTATTACAATCGTTAAAGCCTAAATTTTAACTACAATCGACGACTATCGGATTTAGAGTCTAGTATTCGGTTAGTATATGTGTTAGTATTAATACGATTCTAATAAAAATTATACTATAAGTCTATATATATATATATAATATATAAGATAGTATATATAGCAAGGGGAAATATAAACGTATATATAGAAATTAAATATACTAGTTAAGGGGATATATTTATAATGCTAGTATATAATATATTATAAGAGTATTAGGATAGATTAGGACAATATTAGTAGAAACTATACCGTTATTACCGGACAACTTAGTCCGTTATAAACCCTAGATATATTCGAAAATCAAAGAAATATATACGTTTACTTAAATTATAGAATTAGAGCCGCGCGAGTTAGTACAATAGTCTAGCAACTTGTTAAGTTACTTAGATAGGAACTCGATAATAGAATTTCCTCTTAGTAGTTACAGCCTATTATAAACGCCGTCCAAGTACAAAACTATATATAGTAGATTAATATACAAAGTACTCCTCCTCGAAAGTTGAAACCTAACTCCGATATAGCGCCGCCTAAGCACAAAACCATATATAGTAGATTAATATACAAAGTACTCCTCCTCCTCGAAACCTAACTCCGATATAGCGCCGCCTAAGTACAAAACCATATATAGTAGATTAATATACAAAGTACTCCTCCTCCTCGAAACCTAACTCCGGTATAGGACTACTACCTCCTATCCCACCAGCTATTAGGTACTCCTCCGGGGGCCCCTCCGGACGGGGTATAGTAGGCGCTCTTCGCCTCGGTAGTAACGTAGGGCTAGGATCCGCCGGGCTAGGTGATAAATCCGGCGATACCGAGCCACCCCATAATTCCTCCTGCGTAGTTCCATGCCGTAACGGACTCCTCTGCCTAGTATCCCTTAAAGACGGCCGGAGGATAGGTGGAATCCGAACCGGCGAAGGATCGATACTCTTACGGAGGGTAGAAGGTGTTTTCCTAGTCGAGACTGAAGGAATAGACCTTAGCGAACCAAAGGCTAGACTTTGTGTACGTATACTACGTAGCGTAGTAGTAGGGCTAGTAATTTCGACAGATAGGAGTTGCTTCGTCCGTTCTAGCCAATCTAGATCCCTATCTTTCGTAATATCGGAGATACCAAAAGTAATATCCGACTTTACAAAGTCTTGTTCGATAGCGAGGTCCTTATAGGCCCTAACCCTCGATAAGGCTACGTAGAATGCCCCGGGAGATACTTGCTTCTCCCTAAGGTTTACGACAACCCGATCTAAAGTCATACCTTGCGACTTATGAATCGTAATCGCATAGCAGGTTACTATAGGGAATTGCTCGCGCCATTGTGTCTCCGTAGTACCGTAAGTACCGCGTGCCCTCCGTACGGGAAAGATAGGCACAACCGCACCCTTCCGGGCCCCCCCCCGAGCGTCGATCTGCTCGTTTAGTCCAACCCCACGAAACTCGGGAAAATAAACGAGTAGACAGCGAGGCATAGTATCCCGGGGACTCTCTACGTCCTCGTCCCAGAGAATACTATATAGTTGGCCGCGGCTACCATTAACTAAACCCATCTCCGTCCAGATATTCTGACATAGAAGTACCGGACATCCAATAACTAAGTATAGCTCGGAATAGAGTCCTTGAAACTCTTTCTCGTCAAGCCGACTACTCGAAATAGAGTCGTGCTTAGCGCTAATACGAAGTATCGGATATTCGCTAGCTAAGAGTTGCGTACGATTAAACTGCTCTACCGTAGTACGATAGGAGTAAAGCCGGATAGCAGACTTAAAGTCTCTCTGTATTGCCTCCCCGAAGGGCGTAAACGTACGCTGTCTAAGAAGATTATAGTGCCTATCTTCTACCTTATTAACCCGGACGGCTTGTAGGGCATCCTTAAATTGTAGGGCAGTCTTATCCTGCCCGGATTGCCGGACAACCTGTGACAAACGTAGCGTATACTTAAAGGCTCGGTAGCAATTACGACCGGAGATATCTATAGCGTTATATAAACGCTTAGTAGTAAAGAGAGCGGTAGCCGCGACGGGCGGAAGCTGACAGAAGTCCCCGGCTAGAAGAATACTAAACCCGGCAAAAAAGTCGGTAGAGGCCTTAGTTTCAGGAAAGATCTCGAATAGGCGCTGATTAATCCAACCTAGTAGACGAATACTAAGCATAGATTTCTCGTCAATTACTATAAAACGCACTCCTTCTAACCGTCGGCGGCAGACCTTTCTAGCCTCGTCTCCAAGTTCGTCTAAGATAGGATCGACTTGAATAGGTAGATTAAAGAAGGAATGAATAGTATAGCCATCGATATTAAACGCCGCTGCCCCAGTAGGGGCAAGTCTAACAATAGGACTTCGAGTACTACCTTCAGTACGCCGCGCAAGAGCCTGTAACCGAGCCGAGAGTAGCTCGATTACATAGGACTTTCCGGTACCCGCCTCGCCGTCGAGATTAATTAATAGCTGCGGGGCGCCTTCGGAGTTGGCGGGCGCCCCTAAGCGGGTACCGAATGGAAACTCTCGGACAAACTGTTCGTAGTTCTTAACAAAGACACTATATACTGCCGCTTGCCCCGGATTTAGTGATAGATAGGCGTTGGATGCCTGAGATTCGACATCTAAATTCGAGGTCGAACTTTCCTTTAACCGCCGCCAATAGTTATTCCGAGCTAGCGGTTCGTAAACCTCGGGTATAGTATCCTTAAAACGGCTACAGTAGGGACTCCAGTTAGCAGAAATATCAATACCCCGCTGTCCTAACTCGAGCTCCTCGCGAATCCGATTATTATCGCTAGGATGCTCGTTCCCGAGTTCGTTAAATATAGCCTCCTCATCCTCGGTAATAGGATATTCCTCCTCGAACTCGTCCTCAAAATCCTCGTTCTCCTCGGCTAGACGGCCGTAATAGTCCCTCCTAAGTGTAGGATACTGCGACTCCCGGCGCTCTAATTCCCGGTAGGCAGCCGGCTACGTAGTATAAGAAATAGGCGAGTTTGGGAATCGGAAGGGTAGTACTGGATATACTATCCAAGGGACGTGTAGTACAACCTTAAACCGACAGTACTGCGCGTACTTCGGATCGCTAGTATCGCTAGGATATAGCGGGATATAGCGAAGAATCCGGTCGGGATTTCTATCCGCTAACCTCGTAGGCGGATTCCGGCCTAGATTAAATCTAGTCGCGAACTCGAAGAGCGAAACAGTAGCGTATACTTCCTATCGATCGCTATACTTTATATAGATCGTCCTACGCGCAGTCTGCTGGGGGTGCCCCTCGCCGAGGTCGTTTAGCCTAAATGGTACCTGTTGCTCTGCCTGCGGTCTACAGTCGAGGTTAACGAACTGCCGCGTACAATCTACTAAATTATAACCTAGTAGAATAAACGAAACCTCTTGTGCGGACCAATCTCTTTCAGAAACTAGCTTATTAAGTAGCTTAGCGGCAAGCGAGACTAAGGGCCTCCTATCAGATATACGGGGCAGGATATCCCGTATAAGTTCTGAATAGGGCTTTGTAGCAACCTCGGCTTTCGAACAGTACTTAACAATATATTATAGTACTGCCTTAATATCG